AACCTATATAGACTAGAACAAAGCCAAAGTACCCCCCTCTGCACCATTCTGGCCTCAGGGAAGGTCAGATAGTGTTTCTTCCCTTTCCCAGGACTTCTGCCAGTCAGGTGGTGGGGCAACTCTGACTGAAGCTGATTAAGGGATATAATGAAGGCACATATCGTCCAACTGCTCTGGCCATACACACTCTCTCCAGCCAGCACTGCCCACCACTGGGACCGGAGGTCAGGGCTCCCATGTACTGCCCTGATCCCCTAAACAAACTTTTTCCTGAAGAGGCACCTTCTGTCAGGGTCTATGCTCACTTCTGTCAATGAATCCAGGGCCCTCATTTGTTATTGGTGCAATTTTCTATCTTGTGGCTGTAAGCTTGAGTATACAATTGTCTCATCTTTATGACTTACATTGTATATTAGAGGCAAAGTAAAAGGTCGCACTTCAGATGGGCTGTGAAATCCAGTTATTTTATACTCCTCATACACTGATTTTTAGGTGCAGATTAATCAATCTCTCAGCAAAATCTTAAATACAGTCCTTCTTTCAATGAAGCAGTAATTAGCTACCAATAATTTGTTAACTGAAAATGCAGTTAAGTCACAATCTCATGTTTAAAAATGCAGAAATCAAGAACATATTTCCAACTTCTATATGTCAATGCAGGTGACTCTTAAAATAAGGGACCTGATCATGCAAATATATGTACTAATAAAAAGAACAGGAGTACTTGTAGCACCTTAGAGACTAACAAATTTATTAGAGCATAAGCTTTCGTGGGCTATAGCCCACTTCATCGGATGCCTAGAATGGAACATATAGTAAGAAGAAATATATATACATACAGATAAGTTGGAAGTTGCCATACAATACAGACTGCCATGGCTGCTACTCTGAAATACGTACTAATGTGGCCATACCATATCTGTTTCCAAATTAGAGCCAAGATTAGGACCTTATGTGCTATAACCAGCCCCCACTCCCCCTTTGTCTACCCTAGAGATTTCCCTCCCTCCTGATTAACTGAAGGTACTTAAGATACTTGTAAAGGTTAGTCTGGATGCTCCCCAAATGTTTGCTACAAATACAGATGTCTAGAATAGCCTTTACAAACCCCTTAGCTGCCTGGAGTTAATTGGCAAACAAGGTAAGGGTTTGTCTACACATGGATTTATTCTGGAATAGCTAGCTACGGCCATGTGTGATAACTCTTATGGCTTGCCTACACTTAAAACACAACTACAGCTGCATCATTGTAGTTCTACAGTGAAGACACTACTATGCTGACTGGAGAGGTTCTCCCATTGGTGTAGATAATTGACCTCCCCAAGAGGCAGTAGCTAGGTTGACAGAAATCTCCTGTTGACCTAGCACTGACTACATCAAAGGTTAGGTTGGATTAACTGCATTGCTCAGAGGTGTCGATTTTTCACATCCCTGAGCGATTTAGTTATGTCAACCTAATTTCCTAGTGTACACCAGACCTTATTGTGGATTAAGCTAAATCAGGAAAAGGCATTCTTATTCCAGAACACAAGTGGCCACACCTGGAGTTATTTTGCAATATTCTGCTTAAAATTCAAACCCTACCTCAATCCAGAGTAATTTTCATGTATAGAGAAGCCCTAAAAAGCTTTAGCCTAGACAAACCTGGGAAAGATCTACACTCCAGACCTCTGCCAGCACAACGAAGTCAGTGAGCGGTGTATAGTGCAGATACAGCTATATAGTGTATATGTAGTATAGTGTAGGCACACCGGCAAAGCTGTTTTTGGCAGTGTAGTTTGTTTCAGTCATAGAGAGTGGTTTTACTAAACAGATACAAAGCACAGCTTTGTCAGTATAAGCTGCATCCACCCTAGGAGCACTTTACCAGTTTAGTATACTGGTATCCTTCACAGGTAAAGTGTGCCTACTGTTGACATAGCTCCAGTGTGAAAAACTATCCTGGGCAGCTGCTTGATGTATTGTACTTGCCTCTGACGGCCAGGATGGCTCTCGCCTCTTTTTTTATTTTTATTTATTTATTAAATACTTTGACAATACACTCACTTCTCATGACAATCAAATAATGTGAATCTGGAAAAGTTGAGCAAGAAATTTCCCACTTCCTGTCTTTTTACAGGCCAGCTGTAGGGAAAATGGTATCCTGGGCGAGCTTGTATTTTGGCACCCCTGTCCTCCCTGGGCGTGTGACCTCCCCCATTGCCCTGGCTCCTGTGGGCTCCCCAACCCCTGCACCCACGCAGGGAAACTGACCTGGATGTATGGAGCAGCTGATATTGCTGCTCACTCCCCTCTCCAATGCTGCTCCTACAACACACCCCTAGGAGGTTGCGAGATGAGGAGAGAGGTCAGGGCTCCCTGCATCCTGGTCACTTCTGCCACCAGGGACTGCATAAGGGGAAGGCAGCAGAGCAGCAGCTCCTGATGCTCACCCCACAGCACAGCACAGGTGGGGGAAGTGACCTGGACACACTTGGTGTTGCTCCTCACTCCCCCACAGTTCCCTGGGGTCATGGAGGAATGTTGTGGGGTGAGCAGCATCTGTGCATCACTGCTCACCCCCCAATGTTCCTCCACCGGGAGGAAGCAGTGAGAAATTTGGGCACCCCATCACCTAGCACTCCCCTGCCAGCCGGGAGAAGATTCTGACTCTATAGCGACAAGGCGCACCTCTGCGCTGCCTCCCGGTGCCCTCTTGACCATGGTGCCCATGGGCAGTTGCCTGGATGACCCACCCCTAAGGCCAGATCTCTTTAATATTTTACTGTGCCCAAAGTGTGGTTTGCACCTCACAATACAGATTGAAACCCATTTCTGCCAGTGAATCCCTGAATCCAGTAACTGGATCTGCATGGAGTCGCATTCAAATACAGGGCCCCAGCTCCAAAATGTTTACAGTTTAATTTCAGAATTGATGCAAAGCAAAACAAAACAGTGGACAAGGTATATATGGAGGAATGGCAGAGGTGACATCAGTAAGATTACATGGTTACTTAGGGCAAGCGCAAGGAAGGTTTAATAAAACTTCCCCCAGGGTCATGCAGCAGCCCGACTATTCCCCAAACTCTCCTGAATGCTGTCTCACCACTCTCTACAAGTTATAGCATCTAAGATAGCCAGTTTCAGACATTTTGTTTTCTAGAACAAAGTTGCTGCACTCTAAAACTGTCAAACTCAAAGTTGCTTCAGGTCAATAACCAGCATGATATAGCCAAACCCCATCAAAATTAGGACTTCTTTTGGAGAAAAAATATATAGCCCAAATTTACCAGAAGGGTTCGAGGCGAGGGTGGGGAAGAAATGTATTGAGGTCAGTGTCTCTGGCCAGAGCGATACCAGGGGGTTGTACGGGAATCAGTTGCTCCAGGCGGGGCAATATAGGGAGGGGGGAGCTGTACCAGGCAGTGGCTGTAGCGGTATCGGGGAGCTGTGCCGGGGGTCAGTGGCTGCGGCCGGGGCGGTACCGGGGATGGGGTGGGGGCGCTGTGCCTTTGGTCAGTGGCTGCGGCCGGGGCGGTACCGGGGATGGGGTGGGGGCGCTGTGCCGGGGGTCAGTGGCTGCGGCCGGGGCGGTACCGGGGATGGGGTGGGGGGCGCTGTGCCGGGGGTCAGTGGCTGCGGCCGGGGCGGTACCGGGGATGGGGTGGGGGCGCTGTGCCGGGGGTCAGTGGCTGCGGCCGGGGCGGTACCGGGGATGGGGTGGGGGCGCTGTGCCGGGGGTCAGTGGCTGCGGCCGGGGCGGTACCGGGGATGGGGTGGGGGCGCTGTGCCGGGGGTCAGTGGCTGCGGCCGGGGCGGTACCGGGGATGGGGTGGGGGCGCTGTGCCGGGGGTCAGTGGCTACGGCCGGGGCGGTACCGGGGATGGGGTGGGGGCGCTGTGCCGGGGGTCAGTGGCTGCGGCCGGGGCGGTACCGGGGATGGGGTGGGGGCGCTGTGCCGGGGGTCAGTGGCTGCGGCCGGGGCGGTACCGGGGATGGGGTGGGGGCGCTGTGCCGGGGGTCAGTGGCTGCGGCCGGGCGGTACCGGGGATGGGGTGGGGGCGCTGTGCCGGGGGTCAGTGGCTACGGTCGGGGCGGTACCGGGGATGGGGTGGGGGGCGCTGTGCCGGGGGTCAGTGGCTGCGGCCGGGGCGGTACCGGGGATGGGGTGGGGGCGCTGTGCCGGGGGTCAGTGGCTACGGCCGGGGCGGTACCGGGGATGGGGTGGGGGCGCTGTGCCGGGGGTCAGTGGCTGCGGCCGGGGCGGTACCGGGGATGGGGTGGGGGCGCTGTGCCGGGGGTCAGTGGCTACGGCCGGGGCGGTACCGGGGATGGGGTGGGGGCGCTGTGCCGGGGGTCAGTGGCTGCGGCCGGGGCGGTACCGGGGATGGGGTGGGGGCGCTGTGCCGGCGGTCAGTGGCTGCGGCCGGGGCGGTACCGGGGATGGGGTGGGGGCGCTGTGCCGGGGGTCAGTGGCTACGGCCGGGGCGGTACCGGGGATGGGGTGGGGGCGCTGTGCCGGGGGTCAGTGGCTGCGGCCGGGGCGGTACCGGGGATGGGGTGGGGGCGCTGTGCCGGGGGTCAGTGGCTACGGCCGGGGCGGTACCGGGGATGGGGTGGGGGCGCTGTGCCGGGGGTCAGTGGCTGCGGCCGGGGCGGTACCGGGGATGGGGTGGGGGCGCTGTGCCGGGGGTCAGTGGCTGCGGCCGGGGCGGTACCGGGGATGGGGTGGGGGCGCTGTGCCGGGGGTCAGTGGCTGCGGCCGGGGCGGTACCGGGGATGGGGTGGGGCGCTGTGCCGGGGGTCAGTGGCTCCGGCCGGGGCGGTACCGGGGCGTTGTGCTGGGGGCCCGGCCCCGCTCGCTCACCTTTTTGATGTTGGATTTGGAGGCGGGGTGAAAGTCTTTCTTGCACATGAAGTTGGCGAAGGATTTCCCCATGGCGGCGGCGGCGGCGCGGCCTCCTCAGGCCTCTCGCCCCAGTCGCTCCGCTGCCCCAGGCCGGGCCCGAGCTTCCGGGGCAGGGGGCGGGGCTTCCTGCGGGCGGCGGGGCGGGCTGACACCTGCCCCCACACGGAGTCGGGCGGCGGCCCGCGTGCGCCAGGTGAGACTGCGCGGAGCGCGCCCGGGCCTGACAGCCCGTAGCCCCGCCCCGGGGGTCCCCTTCGGGATCCCTGCATTGCCCCCCCACACACACACACCCCACACCACACCCCTGCCAGCTGGGCGCGCCTGGCCCTACGGGATCCCGGTTCCCCGCGCCCTCTTGAGGGAAACAGCGAGACCGGCTGGGGCTGCAGTAGCGTCCCGCGCTGCCGTAGCGATGGGGGGCTGCTGCTAGCCCCGGGGCAGGGAACGCGGCCTCACGTCCCGGTACCGCAAGAGAGCGGCTCCCTAGTTACCATTCTGCACGTCCGCTCTTGCCCAGGGGGTGGTTTCTAAGTCTGTGTTTCGGGGACCTATTCCAGAAAAAAGTAATCGTTCAGCTACCTGTGTGACAGCCTCCACGCCTCGGTGAAATGCCGTCATTGCGCTCGGGCCCCTGTTCCTGTCTGGGAAGCACCCCCAGCTCTGATTTTTAAGTGCATTCCTGTACGTTATTATTTATTTCAAGGATGGCTTCAAGAACCACTGCACCTCGCTCCTGTGACACATTTGTGGCGCTGCCTCCAGCAACAGTTGGCAGCCGGGTTGTTTTTGGAAAAAATTCAGATAGACCCTCTGATGAAGTGCAAGAGGTAGTCTATTTCCCTGCTGCTTCTCATAAGGCAGGAGACAAGCTTGAGGTAAGAGCAAAGTGTTCTTGAACAGAAACTAAGGGTGCTTGCCCACCATACAATAAAAATAGTAAAGAATTAAACATTAGTTTTAAAAAATCTCCTATGTTTGGCCAAGCACAAGACGTAAAATAGTGTAAGTTTTGTATTGCTGTGTACTAGCACAGCAGGATCATAACCCTCCATCAGAAATACCGACTGACTTAGTGCAGTGAGTGTCAGCTCAGTGCACCCCTTCAGATTCTGCTTTTGAGGACCCTCTTTTATTTGACTCACTGTAAACCCACTTTTTGTGGGTCCCATTGTAAGTAATGCTTGGCCTTTTGTAATGAAGGTTGCTGGTAATAGCACATTAGTTTATTTTATAGATACCCAACATCTCCTACAGCAGAGAATCTAGACCCTTATCTACCTGCAGGATAGAAGTTAGTTTGCGGGCCTTTTGAAATGTGTAGCTAAACTGCCTCCCTCGCTATGTTTAACAACCCTGTGACCTTGATTGGAGAGCAATTTTAACATAGATAGAGTTTGGGGATCCAAAGTATGTGCAGGTATCCGTTTAATCACTTGAATAGGAAACCAGATATTTTGTCTTCCAATGCAAATTAGGAATGGAGAACCCTTAAAGAGAGCTTGTTTTTATTAATTATACTACTTCACTTACATAGTATATACATGTATTTCTATTGAATTTGGGGGTTTTAATGATAGTCTACTAGTCTATGGTTTTGTGGGATAAGGAGAAGAGGGGGAATTTAGAGATATGATTTTGTTAGTTATTGTTGGAAGCTCCTGTCACAAAGGAAGTCTAGCAGAATGAGAACTTTCAGGCCCTGCATTCATTAAGTAGCATTTTGATTTTTTATTACACTTCCCATGCCCTGGTTTATGTTGCAGTGCACTTATATAGAAATTGAGCAAGCAGAAAAAACATATGCTGTTGTTTTGAGTCGTCCATCTTGGATATGGGGTGCTGAAATGGGAGCCAATGAACATGGAGTTTGCATTGGGAATGAAGCAGTGTGGGGACGAGAAGAAGTCTGTGATAATGAAGCACTCCTAGGCATGGACCTTCTCAGGTTGGCACATACTCTAGTTGTATTTAGATAGATATACTATGTTGAATTTGGTTTCAGGTTATAACCCAGATACATTTTTTTATATAGAAACGAACATATGTCTGAAGGCAAGGACCCTGCCTTCTCTGCTGTTCTGTTCTTGGTTAAAATATGAACACTTCTAGGAAGAAAGGCCAGCTCCAACTGCTGTTAAAGTCATTGTGAATCTTTGAGGTGGATGAAGCATTAACATGGACCGTGCAAACGAAGATATTAGAAATTGTTTTATCAGTACTACTAGAATTATTTTAAAGAATAATTATGAATTGAAATTCTCACAAGCACACAATTGCAGTTTGAGGGGTCTGGGTCATACCTTGTAATTATTCTTCCCCAAATCTTTTTCTGTCACAGTTTTGGCCACAGATCCTCAAATAAAACAAATGTACAAAAACAAAGAAAGGCCAGCTTCTTTTTTTTGCCAATTTCCAGTTGGCCAGAAACAAGCAATTAAGAACAAACTAGTCTTAGTATGGTAGAAGTCTCTGCCAATAGTTTAACCCTTCTTTCTTAGTTCAGAGCAGGCAGTTAATTCCCACCTGGGAATGGGGGGTGAATGAGGACACCTCCTAGGACCCTTCTTCCTCCCTTGCACACTTCCATTTTATTGCATCCTCTCCCATGAAGGAGGCACAGCCAATCAGATATACAGTCCAGCAGCTTAACAAGAGCTCAGGTAGGTTCCTCCTTTCTTCCCAGTGAAGGGGTCTGATCCCTTTCTGGTTTAGACAGGGACACATCCCACCACAGTATTCACTGTTCAGATTGAACTTTAATATTGATGTTTAAGAATTCTTCTAAAACAAGATAAGTACAAAAGGTAACATCTTAATTTTGTTTTAGACTTGGACTCGAAAGAGCGGATACAGCTGAAAATGCCCTCACTGTCATGGTTGACTTGCTAGAAAAATATGGACAAGGAGGAAACTGTATGGAGAGTCACATGGCATTTACCTACCATAACAGTTTTCTGATAGCTGATAGAAAGGAGGCTTGGGTACTAGAGACTTCAGGAAAATACTGGGCAGCAGAGAAAATAGAAGGTAGGGTAACATTCTTCATTAGGATTTTAAATCTTCCCACTGCAACAGCATTAGTAATTCCCTGCTTTTCATATACTAACTGCTTCATTAGGATGTGGGGGATCCAGCTAGCTTCTGGGTACGTGTGTACCACGCTGCTTTCATGTCAATAGCAGAAATCAGTCTTTAGAAGGGACTTAATTGTAGGCAGAGTAGGGGCTTACGGATGAGCTCAAGGAGGTTGTACTATATATGCGGACCACAGAGGTGAACGTGCAAGCAAACACTGATGGAGGAGAGAACATGGGAAATGGAAAGCATGACAAGAGAATGGCAGAATTATGCAGAGCTTTAAGGATGGTGAAAAGGTGTTTAAAAACTGATGTGATAATAGACGTGGAGCCACGGGAAGGATTCAAAGAGGAGTGAGCGGATCAAATTGATGGGCAGAAAGATGATTGTTTGGGAGGCCGGTATTGTAGTTGAGCTGGAATATAACGAGGACCTGAACAAAACACTTGGCTGTGGGAATGGAAATAAAAATGAATATCAGAGCTGCAGAGAATGAAGCAGTAGCAGAATTTGGATATGGCCTGGATGTGTGTGATGTGGGGGAGAAAGAGAGAGAAGCCAAAAATATTCCCAGGTCTGCAGGGGAACTCAGCAGGTTACATGAGAACTTCAAAAAAGCTGTAAAATATAAAATACATTTCAGTAAGCTAAATGTAAACAAATAAAATACTGGATAAATCACTGCATAAAAGACACTAAATGATCTCTTTCCCCACTTTACAAACAGAGGGTGTGCGGAATATCTCCAACCAGCTCTCCATAACAACCAAGATCGATCGGGAACATCCTGAAATGAGAGATTATGCTAAGAGCAAAGGCTGGTGGGATGGTGAAAAAGAATTTGATTTTGCTGCCATATATTCCTACGTAAATACTGCCAGAATGATAACTTCAAGGGGCAGATACTGTGAAGGCTATAAGCTACTGAATAAACACAAAGGTACCCATTATTATTTGACTATAGCAAATCAAACAAAGTATTTAGTATGCAGTGTCCATTTAATTCAAGCGATTAAAATGTCTGCTGCGGTACATACACTGGGTTAATTCAATAATAATTCAATTGAAGACAATATTAGAGTGATTGGATTTTTAAGGGCTGTTCACTATTTTTAAGTTTTCTAATATTTTTTGCATTTTTCTCAATTGGGTGGGGAGAAATCATAAACAAATTTTATATATTAAACATTTAATACTGCAGCCATACCTATAGGCCAGGGGTGGGCAAACTTTTTTGCCCGAGGGTCACATCTGGGTATGGAAATTATATGGGAGGCCAGGAATGCTCGTGAAATTGGGGTTAGGGTGCAGGAGAGGGTGAGGGCTCTGGCTGGGGGTGCAGGCTCTGGGGTGGAGCCAGAAATGAGGAGTTCAGGGTATGGGAAGGGGCTCCGGGCTTGGGCAGGTGGTTGGGGGGCTCCAGCTGGCAGGGTGGGCTCTGGGGTGGGGCTGGGGATGAGGGGTTTGGAGTGTACTTCGGGCTGGGACCGAGGGGTTTGGATGGTGGGAGGGGGATCAGGGCTGGGGCAGACGGTTGGGACATGGGAGGAGGTAAGGAGTGCAGGCTCCGGGTGGCGCTTACCTCAGGCAGCTCCCGGAAGCAGCGGCATGTCTCCCCCTCTGGCTCCTATGTGGAGGCGAGGCCAGGTGGCTCTGCGTGCCACCCCTACAGCTTCCATTGGCTGCGGTTCCCGGCCAATGGGAGCTTCAGGGGTGGCGTTTGGGGCGGGGCCAGCGTGCAGGGCCCCCTGGCTGCCCTTACACCTAAGAGCCGGAGGGAGGACATGCCACTGCTTCCGGGAGCCGCCTGGAGCCCTGACCCCACTTCTCAGCTGGAGTGGTGCAAGCCCCAGACCCTGCTCCCCTGCAGGAGCTCAAGGGCCAGATTAAAACATCTGACGGACCTGACGTGGCCCGTGGGCTGTAGTTTGCCCACCCCTGCTATAGGCTTACCAAGCGATGGCCATCTTGTTCTGTGCTCAGCAAGGACTGATGACTGACTAGTTCCGGAATATTTGATGGGTTATTTTCCATCCACCTACTTGGCAGAAAAAAAGCAACTTCCAAAAATTCACTGCCATTTATACAACCTTGGGAGAGCTTTGGGGAAGGCCTATATTAGTACAAGTGCCTAACTGAACCCATCTCTGAACACTATTGTCATATGAATATGAAGTCATTCTGCCTAATCTAACCTTTTTTTGGTTGGACTTGAAGATACTCATATTAAAAACATAGATTTAAAAAATGTTACTGTTAAAATTATATAGTCCAGTAAAACACCCTATCTGAAAGCAGGATAAAGGAATTTACAGCATTATCAGAAGAAATTCTTAGTTACCAACTTATTCACATGACTTTTTCACATTTATGGAGAGAGAAACTACTACTTCTCTTCCAACTGCTTCTATTTGGCAGCTTTTAACTGTGTTGCATATATCTCAAAATAGCATCTGGATTCACTGTTGCATTTGAAATGATTAATCTAAACGGAAATCAAATTGCATCCCTGGGTGCTTTTTGTTTTTTTGAGTTCGGTCACCCCAGCTTTAGCACTTATTCACTGCGTGCTAGTGAATTATCTATAGATATCTTACTCTGGTGATCATGTAAATCCTGCATCCATTTTGGGAATTGCAGGTTCTGAATACTTAATACCTGTATTATAGAAGTTTTAAGGTTCTGTCAGCATTTTCACCGAAATCCCCATTTTCAGGCATTCACCTCAGCCATTTTTAAATCACCCTAGGTATTCAAATTATCAGCCTGGTATAGTTTCATTTCCTTTAGATTTTTTAAAAATCCATGCCTTAAAAGCTATTTAATTTAGAGCAGAAACAAAGGCATAGTTATCATACTCTACCCTTCCAAGCTTTTTCTCCCAATAGCTTTAAAAAAAAAAAAAGTCTTCCAGTCTACTGATCTTCGGTGTGTGGAGAAACTTTACAAATATAAATATCATAGCTATTTTAAAAGTAGCTACTGAGAGACTATATGGGGAATTCAGGAGAATCAAAAACCTGATCTAGACAAGAGAAATTTAATACATTGTGCCTGCTGGACAAGCTGCTGACCTGCACTTAATCTTGGTTTGCAATGACTGACCTTGACCAAATATGAAAACTGCCTCCTCTCTTTCATTTCCTTCATTTACTGTGATGAATCCCTCCTGCTGGCTTCCTTCAGCCTGTTGCGCCCATACAGTGGAGAAGAGTGCACATGGTTAATTAACCATGTGCAATACTTGAAGCGCAACATGGGTTGCAACTTGCATCATTTACAGGGAAACTTAGACAAGTCAGCTTAAGTTTTCTCACTGAGCAGCAGTCTTCATGATTTTCTTAGTTCAACTAGAAATGGCAAGGCCATTTAAACTAGAAATCCTAATCCACTGAGAGATGGTATGAGGAAAACATAGCAAGAGTAGGAGGTTTCGAGTTGCCAATATCCCTTTAAAATGGAAAAAACAATTAATAGATTAGCGGTTCCTCTCTTTTATATTAGCATTTGCTCACCTGTTGTACTGCATTTGGAGGGAAAATGTCTGTAGGTGCCCTTGTTAAAATATTGGCAGTACATCACTAGGCATTCACATAAACCACTACAGTATATAAAAAACAGAGACAGCATTTGAACATTAACTACTTTAAAATAATTTACTTTTAGAATTTTCACAAGAACAGCCAATACCAATGAAGGGGTTCCATTCACCCTGTCTCAGAAAGAAAATTATTTTCACAAGGATGCTGAACTCAAGTTTGCCTTTTTTAGTTTGGTGCTTGCTGATCAGTATTACATAGCCCTTCACAAATGGCTACGTTAGTGTGGTTCCATTCCATTCAAGATATAAAACTGATTGTTCTCTAGTGCATCATTTCAGCTGGTCATCTTGAAATATAAATTACCTGGGAAGTAAAATAGTAAGGAACAGTTTAATCTCTTCGAGTTGCATTTTCAAAGCAGTGCACAGGAAATCCACATACAGTTGTCATTAGTTTTACATTTTCAAAGCAGTCTAGTGGGATTTGTACATAGATAATACCAGTAAGCAATACTGTGATTTGTCTGCTTAACTCCCACACAGCATTTAGGAAGTTTAGTCTTTAATCTTGAACTATGAATTTTCATCTGAAAAGTTATTTTATCTGAACTGTTTGCTAGGCTTATTATTTGTCATATACTTTGGAAGTCCAAAATACATTTGTTATAGCACTTGAGTCATAAATGCAATATCTCATTGTCATTTACTTATCAGAAAAGATAAAAATAAAACAGTAATCTTATTTGCTATTTTAAACTTGTGGCTTATTCCACTATGTATGTGGGCTGAAGGATTGATTGCTTTCATGACAGAGCTAAAAAGTGTCCCTCTCATGTTTTTAACTACCGTGTAAGAAGCTAGTCTGATATCCCTTGTTTTGCACCAGTTGGTCTTTTTGCCAACACAGCATATTAACATGAACATTACCTTTGAAAAAATGTGAGGAGTAAAGCATGCAGTTCTAGAATAGCTGGTATTTAGTCACTATTAGTCTTGTTTGTAAATTCATTGTTTTGTATCTTAAACAGGCAATATAACTTCTGAAACAATGATGGAAATTCTTCGGGATAAAGAGAGTGGCATTAATATGGAAGGAGGATTTATGACAACTGGAAGTATGGTCTCCATTCTACCTCAGGAGCCTAATTTCCCTTGTATTCATTTCTTTACAGGAACTCCAGACCCTGACAGGTGATACAATAACTAATTAAAATGAAAAGTTAGCGAATGTTTTCTAAGTTATAAGATGGTGTCATTTACTTGCTTATTGGTTTCATTTTATTATTTTAAAACAAGTCCCAAAATGTAGTGAGAGCCAAATGCATGTCATAATTTAGGGGTTCATTACTCCTTTACGTACATACATAACATCGATGAAAATGTGGGGAGACTTCATACACATTTTATCTGAGTAATTAAAACAAGGCTAAGAGTTATTTGAAGCCTTTCTCCAGTGGAAGTAGAGGGGATAAATGGAAGGAAAATACAATGATGCATTGAGTTCTGCTTGTACCTTTAATAAAACTATATCAATGAATCTGTGTTCTGTTTCCTCTCCCTAGATCTGTTTTTAAGCCTTTTATTTTTGTGCCAAATATTACTCAGTTACTAAAAACCAGCTCACCAACATTTGGTCATGATGATCCAGTGAAGAAGAAACCACGGTTTCTGACTAAGCCAGATCGAAGACATGAGCTCTATAAGCAACATGAAAGTGCTGCTGTGGTTATGGAAACCTTCAAGGTATGTTCGATTTCAGTGCAAGGTGGTGATTTGGGTTATTCACTCCACTCATGGTTTGCAGATGTGATACTGTTTAAGGCTCCAGTTTGTTGGATGGTAAAGAATATTTATGTAGTGCACCAGTGGGCAATCTGTTCAGCCTCTCGTATGCACGCGTTTCAGAAATGCCAAAGAGCCACCATCAATCCCTCAACTATTTCCCTAGGCTCAGGCACAGCCAGTCAAACTTCTGTCCTGCTAAGCCTAGGGTTCTCAAAGCCTGGAATGGAGCAGGCCAGACTACTCTTTTTTCATCTCCTGTAATTGCACCAGCCAGACCTTGGGGGTACTACTGAACAGCCCCAGCGTGGAAGGAATGGCCCCTGGTCAGAGCACTCCCAGCAATCACAAGTGCTGCTCTTGGGTCTGAAGGGAGGGGTTGGGGTGTCTGTTACCACTTCCTTGTAGCGACAGGATTGATTCAAACACTTCAGTTTAAAAGTCACAGATTTTTCTTTGTAAGTCTCCTTGGAATGCCCCACGTTGGACACCAGTGATTAAGTGCATCAATGTGCTCAGCACTGTTTTGAGTTAATATCATAATAGCTTGCGATGGTACTGCCTGAGCTCCAGATTGCATGTTGAATGATGAGGATTTTAGTTTAAATTAGCTAGTGGTACCATGCACTTGCTGTAATAAATATTAGTGTATTTTTCATAAATGGCTGTGACCAATGGTATATGTAGGCCAATATGAGGCTCACCAGTTACCAAAAGGCTGAGGTTTGGAGTCTGCTTAGACTCACCGGAAGGATTTCAGTATAAAGCCCTGTAACCGATAGAACCAGGTCTAAAGTACACTGGGTTGGTGCACTCCTTGGAGCAATGTATATGGGAGCAGCAACAGGTAGATGGGTGGGAAGGAGGTTTTAAAATTGCAGCTACCGAGCAGGCACATGCTGAGCAGCTGCAGCAATGCAGGCCAGATTATGGGAGAAGCTGTAGCTAGGTAGCACAGTGGACATGGCAGGGGAGTGGAGAGGAGAGGAGCTGCAGGGAGGCCAGTTTTGTGTAAATACAGAGTTAGGAAGCACTACATTCCTCTGACCACTGCTCTGCTTCTAATATCCCACTCAAACTGAAAGCAGGGTAAGTGGGAGAGAGAACATGATTTTAGAGGTTATAGGTGGTCGATGAGTTAGTCCAGACCCCTCTGTGGGAAGACACTGCAGGTGTTGCTACCTTAGCTAATTCGACTAAAATGATGAATGGGGGGGTGAATATTATGGGGTGTTTTGATTCTGAGGGAGATGAAGACCTCTAGTTTTCACCAAGTATTATTGGAAAATAGATGCTAAATATAGAAATCCTGGAGTATTTATTACCAAGAGTAGTGTGATGGGCTTCTCTCTGGGTGGGCCCTCCCTATCACTCCTGCCAGCTCCTTTGGTCTAACTCCCAAGGATGTGACATCAGGCCAAGCATTTTTCTGAATTTCCTGACTCTTCTGTTTCCTCTCTTTGGTGTTTTTAACTCCTAAGCCCAGTTGTCTTCCCTTCCTTTTCATACCATCTCTAGTCAGGCTCCAGTTGTAGCTCCTGGAGACAGTGTCCCACTAATGCATCCTCAGAAGAAACTTGAAGCAGCGGAGCAGTACAGCACACCAACCACAGATGAGGATTTCAAAGCATGCTTACTGCATTAGTACAACATACAGCTCTGCCACACTGTGGCTGTGTTTAGAGTGGGAGCCCTAATTTCCATCAGCACAGATAAGCTGATGACAGCAATGGGCAAGACAGTAGCCTAGACAGGGCTCAGGCTTTTATCACTGTTTTATTTAAGGCTGCTCAGAGTGGGTCAAGACTATGATGTGAAAACACAATCCTCGTTTACATTACAGCTTTCCTTTTTGGAACTACCTTCGAGAATTACAGGCCCTAGTTTTCTTCATCAGCAGAATTGCCTATTTTTTGTGGAGCAAGGAGGCTAGTTGCTGACTTCTAAATGGTCACTGGTTTTGTTGAAGTAGAGCCTAGAATTTATTTAAACTTTTGGTCCAAAAATAGATGCCATCCAAAGACAGGGCTATTCAGAATCTACACACACACACACCCATTTCTAAAAAGGCACTTCTGCACAAATACATTTTGCTGCTGAAAGCACTGAAGAACTTTTCATTTTTACCATTCAAGCCCCTCGCACAAAAGGTTTGGAACTTGTAGGTAGATGAGACAAATACTGTATAAGGGACAGAGCATCTGAGCAAGAACACTATGTAACCTACACAGACTGGACAGCACTGATTCCCACTACTATCACAAATTGTTGTTATGGGCACAGGTATAAGAGCTTAAGTAGAAAGATGATTGACTATAGCAAGACTTTGTTTTAAACTGTACAGAGCTGTTAGTTTCATTCGAAAATGTGTTCTTTTGTTTTTGTAGGAAAAAGGTAAAGAGATGCTGGAACAGATACGGAAGTTGGAGAAAGAGAAAATTAGCAAGATGGAATCAATCCTGCAAAATGGATGTCTTGATGTTAACCAAGCTGTTAACCTTTTTTCACAGTGTGTGGAAGAGGAAATCAACACATATGCTTAAGAGTATAAATCAAATGCAGTGGAATTTGGTCCTGGTGATCATGATCCCTTGTAGTTGTATGGCTCTAGGGATCAAATCTTATTTTGGACAAGTCATTTTCCATTGATGATTAGGTGTTTAGCATCTTCTATATGCTGGCCTACGGGCTTTTGATAATGATCAAATGTTTTCAAAGGTAGGGAATAGTTTTGCCTTTAAATGACACTTGGCTGTAGATAAAGAATATGACAACTAGGTGAAATGCCAGTAAGAACCAACTTGATTAACAATTAAATATTAAAATGCCTAGTAGGTATTGAAATTCTTGGTTATTTTATGATTAAGATTTTCATTCGGTGCATCTTGGTTTTGAACAACTCACTCTATGAATATGCATGTAGATTTTATACTCAAAAAGTGTTACTCAAGTTGATTATCACAGCATAATTTCACTCCCTGAATTAAAATGGACAAGCGAGAACTCTCTGAAATGGAGAAGCCACTATTATGTATCATTATCCTCTGAGGTTAATTTATTCCTGTAAAACAAATATCGCAGCACCAATACTTATTTTAATGCTCTGCTAATAATCCTCCAGTTGTACAATTGCCACACTAAGAAAAATATTTTACTTGTCAGCAGTAAGAGTTTTCATGACAGTTGTACGCTAGGATAGACTATAGCTCAATCTAGTATTACTTTAATAGGATATATGTACTTTACACTTAATTGTGCAAGTGGCAATGCATGAATGACAAGTTAACCTTCAAATTAACACATTGAGTAGGAGTGTGTCTAAAGTAATCTGCCATTTTAAAACCAAATTACAGCTTCAACTTTACAATAAGTAAGTTGGACTGAAATGTGTTAAAATGGCTTTGACTTTCAAGTTCCATTAAGGTAATGAGTGTATGGTATCTTAGCAATACAAAATGACCTGCCAGTTACCACAAAACATGTAAGATTTAGCATCCTTATATGTTTGCTAACCTTTATTTAGAAAGAAGTGTTTTGGTTTTATGTACTACTCTCTGATTACTTTGAAATTAATTCTGCCAGTGCACTTTTCAAGACAGCACTGGACTGTTTTTCGTAACAATCATTTTATTGAATCATCTGTTTAAAACACACAAGTACAATGAATAATAGGTCTGAGTATTTAAAGATCTGAAGTGTGCCTACTCTTACAGCATGACAGTTTTAAAAAGAGAGACTAAACTTTTCTTCTTTAGATGAACGCCTTGTTATTCATAACTTGTCTTGCCAAAGCTGCTAATTTATTAAAGAGTGATTTAAGCAAAGCTAAATCCTTGATCCTGTATTAAAGTCATGATCAATTTGTAACATTACCTTCGTATTCATGGCAAGAGACTGGAAGGATAAATGCAGGATTCTGACTTCATTCATACAGAATCAAGCTAAAGGTAAGGAAGACTTGTAAAAGAGAAAGTACTTTAAAGTATCTGAAGTATAGAATGTATAAAATAACTGGTGATACTACTGGCATACTAAAAATCAGTTTAAATTTTCTGTAACTGGTTAGTAACTGCAGGTAATAACACATTAGATACATCAGGCAATCCGTATTAGCACAGAAATCAGATCGATTTATACAAGTATTTTTTTTTAAAAAACCAAACACTTTTCCTGGGTAAATTTGAAGAACTCTACCCATTTGTATATTTTCTCCATTTAAAACTGTTGCTTTTCTGTGCCTATAACTTAGTCTGTGTAATAGAAATAGAGTGCAGGTCACACTTCCAATTGCAATTCTTCATCTATATTAAAATTGTATAGAGATAGACTAACATCTGATTATTTAGCAACAAACACCTACTTTAGTCAGCAAAATACTGTGAGAAAACATTCTTGTAATATTTCCCTGTGTTAGGAGGAAAAGCCACTAGTAGTGGCATGAAAAATCCAAGCAGAGGAAACCCTCTTATCCTACAACTACTGTGAATACCACCTGCTAAGTGTTTGTGTGTTGGGGGGGGGGGGGGGGGACGACTTGAGCCTTCCCCCACAATGTGAAGTATTTGAAATAACACCACTTCCATGGCAAGAAGCTGTTGAAAGTGATCAACACACTTTTTATAATCCTAGAAATTAAACAGAGGGTCTAAAATTGTGATCAGGATTCTGGCTATGACAGACCCTCCAGAAAGCCTTACAATAGTTTTGTATCAGAGTGGCAGCCGTGTTAGTCTGTATCAGCAAAAAGAATGAGTACCTGTGACACCTTAGAGACTAACAAATTTATTTGGGCATAAGCTTTCGTTGGCTAAAACCCCCTTCATCAGACGCATGGAGTGGAAAATATAGTATGAAGATATATATACACACACACAGAGAACATGAAAAGATGGGGGTTGCTATACTAACTGTAACGAGACAAATCCATTTAGGTGGGCTATTATCAGCAGGAGAAATTTATGAGAGTATCCAGTTTTGAGAGCTCACTCTTAATCTTTCTTGTTTGCTGTATAGGATGTTGATCAGGTGATTACGCAGTTTTTTTGAGAGTGTAGGGGCTACATCTGATGTACAATGCATACCGGTCCCGAGAGTAGGTCACCTCCCCCTCCAATGGCTCTATCTCAAAAAAAACTTGGCATTGTAGACAAGGCCTTAGAGTCCTCACCTTTTCGTATGAAATCAAGAATCCAGTATGTAGTAGTTATACAAAGAGCTATAGAACTCTAGCAACTTTGTATCACCCCTGCCTCCATCAAAGTGATCATCTTTATGTAGTCAATTTCAAGAACTAAGTTATTTCAGATACTCCACCTGCCAGACACCTTGATTTGTAGTTTTACAAATCTAGTGTTGCTCTTTTGTAAACTATATCCTTTCCATCATCATTGTGTGAAAGAGCCCACAAACAAAAGTTGAAATTGAAACTGAGTGGAGTGCTGCCAAGTATACAAAGCAAACTGAAAAGATAAGTTTTACATGCAGACTTTTAGGTTTAGCAATCACAGATGTTAAGAGTAATGCCAGTAGGTAAAACATTTTCTATAGAAGTTTGATTAAGGTGACAGTGACTCTGCTAGCACAGACATAGAAAACACAAGATTTCCTGAAGGTTCAGTAATACAAAGAATGTTCATAAACTGTCAGAGGATATTTTTGAATAAAGTGATTTGCTGTGTTCCACCTCAGCTCCTACTGAATGTCTGTTTTCGACAGCGAGCCATTTGGCAGCCGTACCACTTTGGGCTGTGATCTTGTCACACCTCCCAGAAGGGCACTTGAATGGGCAGCTTAATGATAAAACTCAGGTGCTGAAAAAAGCTGTTGGGTCAGAACTTAGCTCAAGCCTAAGTCACCAAGACTGTGGTGGGTAGGATTGTGAAGTAAGAACTGTACTTTTTCACATTATAGTGCTTGATTCACCACTACATTACACCAAGTCATAAATTGGATTACTTTCCTACTTGATCATAATGAGTGGAGATGTCCTGTTATGTGTGCAGCCGAGAGTCCAACAGGGCAGTGACGTTTCAGCTATTCCCCTGTATTTTCTAACATGCTTTCCCCTTCCTGGCCTAAAGTGATATATAGTGTAGATGGTGTGCTAGATTCTGGAGGTGGGTGAAGTGATGATTATTATTATATTTTGCTGTCATGGACCCTGGGATTTAGTTCTTTCAGACAAGATTCTGGCCAAAATATAAGGGAAGGAGAAAAGGAACTATATTCAACTGAAAGCTAGAGTGTCCGCTAGAGGGCAACCTCTGCACATATTTGGTTTAGAGACCCCTCCCCCCACACACTCACTTTAATTTTCAAACTTTAGGGGCAGAAGATTATTTACAAACAATTCACTGAAAAACATTATCTAATATTTTTCTATTGTGAAACCTAGTACAAATGCCCCATTTCTCCACTGCTTCCTTTGGTAAGGGCTACAAACATACAAGAAAAAAGTTAGAGCTCAGTGCTTCATTCTATGGAATATTTGAATTATCCTTCTGCAATTTGGTCCAACTTCTGCCAAATTATGTATGGATACTGCCAAAACGGATGTTCACCCATAATTAACTAACCTTAAATACAAAAGAGTCTAACAGACGCCATGTTATTAAGCTGATAATGGGCATATTCAGTACTTTAACAGGCCAATTTCTTGAATGGAGAACTTACCAAATCTAGGAAGCCAATAAACAGGAGTTGAGTCACTTAAAATATTTCACAGCTAGACTGGCCACCTCATTAACTCAGGTAGGAGAACAGAACAATAGTCTCCACTTGAAAGAAATCAATTAACAGTCACCAGCAAACCCTCCAGCCAATTAAAGAGCAGCATTGGTGGAATTAAAAGATGGCAAAAATTAGGATTCCCAAGTCTCTAGTGTTAGGAAGAGAAGCCCCTCACAAAGATAAAAGTATTCCCTACAGAGTTTGGCCTCTTGACGTAACCCATGAAATTACAATAAATAAAAATTCAGAACCACAAGATAAAATAACTATAGATTTATTGAGAAGTAGCAACATTCAGAAGCCAGAGATATTAATTGCTTCTACTCTTAACATACACACATCTATAATTCATCCAAAATAGCTTGACACAGCTGTTTTCAGCTGTTTCAGTGTAACAAAAGTATACCATCCACTTCACTCATGGATAATGCCAATCCACTGCCTGCTACAAATGTCAGTTTCTTTGTTGTGGAAAAAGAAAACATCAGTTTGTATAGCATACAGTAGGACACTGTCTGCATCAATGCACACAGCAGACTAACGTGCAATAAGACTACTGTATATATTTGACAGCAAAAAGGAATTGCTTTCTCAGCATCAGTCTTGCATGCATTTGGTGCAACATCCAAATTGTAGCTACTGTAAAGCCACTTCCTCAAGTATTGTGGTTTATGCTGTTAAAACGACTTTATTCTTACTACTAGCAGATAATGGCCACATAAAAAGGTAAAGTAAAATCTGTGTCTTTAAAAATAAAAGGGCTGAGGAAAATTGATGTATACATGTAGCTACTCCAGATGAGGAAACAAAGCAGATTTTGTTCCTGTTTTTTCAATTACACTAATGATTAGAAATTTTATGGCAACTTAGCGCTCTTGTTGCAGTTTTAAAAGGGCAGTAAAACGGGCTATTCCATACTCCAGGATTCTGCTTTAGCAATTTCAAACTATTACAGATAACATGGACTCAAACTCTCCTTTTGGTGCATTCAAGTTAGATATGAATATAACATACAGTACTTGAGTAACTATTTGAACATTTTAGGGAGGTTACTAAAATTTGATTATCTTGTACCCATGAGATAAAGCTTTGATAAAGACAATGTAATTTTAAAATCCTTAGATATTCTAAAACCAAATTCAGAAATTCAACAAGGATTCTTTGGATCAAAGTCATTACACCTAGTTTAAAGGTTTTATGCTTTGTTCAAAGTTTTGGGTTTGATTTGGAAAGGTACTAAATATCTACCACCCCACCAAGAGTTGCAGTTGCTTCTAGGATTTGAAGATGAAGGTATAATTTGCTAATTACTGTGTGCAGAGTTACTAATGCAGGGGTGGGCAATCTACAGCCCGCGGGCCAGATCCGGCCCCTCAGGGCTTTGGATCTGGCCCATGGGATTGCCACCCCCATGGTGCTGTGGGCCCCATGCCTCTCCCAGAAGCGGCCAGCAGCAAGTCCTGTGGCCCGGGGGGGGGGGGGGGCGGGGGGAGTGGCTCTGTGTGCTGCCCTCGCCTGCGGGTACCTCCCCCTGCAGCTCCCATTTGCCGGGAATGGGGAACCACGGCCATTGGGAGCTTCGGGGGAGGTACCCACAGGTGAGGGCAGCGCACAGAGGGAGACTGCCCTGGCCCCAGTGCATGCCACTGCCCCCCTGGAGCTGCTCCAGGTAAGCGGTGCTGGGCCGGAGCCCAAACCCCGAACCCCTCCTGCACCCCAAACCCCTGTCCTGATCCCCCTGCTGCACCTCGCACCCTTCCTGCACCCCAACCCCCTGCCCTGAGCCCCCTGCTGCACCTCAACCCCCTGCCCTGAGCCCCCTGCTGCACCTCAACCCCCTGCCCCCTGCCCTGAGCCCCCTCCCGCACTCCTCCCTGCACCCATGCCCTGGGCCCCCTCCCACAGGCCGCATCCCAGCCCTGAGCCCCCTCCCGCAGGGCACATCCCAACCTCACCCCAACCCTCTTCCCTGAGCCCCCTCATACACCCTGCACCCCTCCTCTGCCCCAACCCCTTGCCCTGAGCCCCTTCCTGCGCACTGCACTCCCTCCTGCACTCCAACCCCCTACATTCATGGTCCTGCATGCAATTTCCCCACCCAGATGTGGCCCTCGGGTCAGAAAGTTTGCCCACCCCTGTACTAACACCTAAGAGAAAATCTTTGGAAAACAAACTACTTAAAATTCATTATATTCTGTGATGTTTCTAGGGTTTTGTTTGGTTTGGTTGTTTTTTTAAAAAACATCTCTTTAAGACTTGGTAAACTTGTATAAAACCAGGATCTTTGTTAATTGTTCATCTGCTCATGCCTGAGTTCTAATCCCTTGACATCATGATCATCTTCACAGCAATTAACGTCATTACAAACAGAGGATTTTCTCTTCAAGGGAGGAGTAAGCAGCATAAACTGAGAAGTTAAAATTTGAACACAGAGTTCCTGGTTTTATGCAAGGGTCCTAAGTAACAGGGGCGAATCCTGCTCCCATTAAGTCAAAGGAAAAAACTCCCATTAACTTAAATGGGAGCTCAGGATTTCACCAGGAGAAGGAAATATTCTTAACATAGAATGCTTTAAAGTTTTGTATGCGTCATCAGCAGCTAAGTGCAGTTTTATTGGGGGTGGGGAATCATTTTATATTGCTTATGCTCAAACTGGAAAAATAACTGAACTGTGAGCGTCCTACTTCAGAGATTTTTTCATTAGTGAGCATTCAAAGCAGGCCATTTGCTACACATTTTCTTTTGGTGGAACAAGAACCACCAAATTTCATCAGCATTACAAGTGAGAACACCCAATTCGATAAGTGTCATAAGAAAGAAAATGCTTTAGATTTCAGTGGTGAGGGCAGGTGAGAAGGACAAACTTGCCCTTTGTTGCCTACGCTCTGAATACATGCCCAGTTCAGTGGCTTTCAGTCACTGTGGATCTCTTATGAATAAAACGGTAGTACAAGTACTCATCCTGAAATTCAAATTCATTGGTAATATGCTGGATGACTCCTCCTTTTGCCAGTTTGTCTCCGTACATCAGAGCTTCACCACGGTCAGAAGCAAGGCCAACTTGGATAAGCCAGTTCACCAGCTCACAGCCAAAGAAGATGCCAGTCGAGGTCTTTGCACCACACCTGTATGTCAAAGGAATGATTCACCCATATGTTCTGTAAATCTGCTATCACCACTGCATGATGGGGGAAGGCAAGGAAAAATACAGGGAAAACAAGGAAAGACAGCATGAAAGTTAAAAGTATGTTAGAAGAGAACCTATTAATTCTGTATGTTAAGGGCATGCACATTTCATTACCTTTTCCTAAACGTCTGGATGAAAAGCAAAATGCATGCAAAGTTCTGTTATGCCTGTAAAATAAACTTTATAGAACCTACACAGCAATCCGACTACAACACACGTACACATACAAATTATTGGGTACTTACTTCAAATGTATTCATTAGCATGACCACTTCTGTAACAAAATACCTGATTTAATGAAAGGTAAAATGCCAGAAGCATTAGGTACTTGGGCTGCACTTTAATGCTCACCTTTTCTTCAAGTTTGAATAGTTGTGTATATTGTAGATAAGTCATTTAATGTGCTTATCTTACTGAATCTTTATTTACTAGAGGGAACAACTGAGAACAATATGACACTGATGCAAGATGGAAGTGTTTTGTTTTGTTTGTTTTGACTTAGTGATGAGGCAATACTACTACCTTCTAGTCAGTGTTAGGAAACTATCACTCAGAAATGTATTTGTGGTAATGAATATTTCTGGTTATCTAAAATCTGCTCTATGGAACCTAACTGCAGGATTTCTGAAGTTTGAGCAAACAAAGATGATTAACAGCTACACAAGACAGCAATCACCAAGGAACTTCTTTATATTTTAATTAAAACAAGCAGTAAAAATGAGAGCAAATGTTAGCTTATATTAGTGGAGCAACAAAACAAAGAACCAAAATCATATCAGACACAGTATTATTAAATTAAGGAGAAATTAGATGAATATTTAAATAAGGGATAAAGGGATTGCACACATTTTCTCACAAATGGAAATAAGGTGGGAAAGAAATGCTGCACAGTACATAATATTCAAATATAAAATACAAATATTTGAGATCAGAAATTGATATTTTTTAAATACAGAGACCCAAAATATATGTACAAGCTTATGTTTCACTCTAAGTCTGATTAATTCTCAAAGGAAACAGAAACAATAAAAGCAAAGAAACAGTAGGGGGAATAAAATGCCATGCATCACAAGCCCCGACTTTCCATTGTGCCGGGGGTGCTCAACCCCTGGCTCTGCCCCAGGCCCCACCCCCACTCCACTCCTTCCCTCAAGGCCACCCCTGCTTTCCGCCCCTGCCCTGCATCTTCCAGCCCTGTTCCACCCCCTCCCCTGAGTGTGCTGCGTCCTTGCTCCTCTTCTCTCCCCCCAGAGCCTCCTGCACAATGCAAAACAGCTGATCGCAATGGGCGGGAGGCATGGGCGCTGATCGGCAGGGCCCGCTGGTGGGCAGAAGGCACCGGGGGGAGGGGGAAAACGCTGATGGAGGCTGCCAGTGAGTGCTCAGTACCCACCATTTTTTCCCCATGGGTGCTCCAGCCCCGGAGCACCCACAGAGTCGGTGCCTATACCATGCACCATGTAGGTACAAAGTGCACCCGTCTACTTCGTAAAAATACTTCCTGATGTGCCATGCTTGCTTATGTGGTAGGAAGCCTGCTATGTGAACTGTGTGATGTCTGTACCCTATGTTCACCCCTTTTGCAAGATTATGATAAATTTTGTACAAAATATGCCTTGTGAGGTATCATTTGAAAACTCAATTTGCTGACATTGTCCTGGTAAAATGTGTGTGGCAATATTGTGTGTAAAGTTCTAAGATTCTACTATATGATATTATTAAAACATGTTCCAAATCTGGGGAGCAGTCACAAACCAGTTTCCCAGAGACAAAAAGCTAGCCAATGCCTCAACCAGGTGTCTTTGGCAGGAAAAAAGGTGAGAGTGAAAAGTCTACATCTTGACAAAGAAACAGCCTGGGGTTCCCATACACACAGACTTTCTGTCTCCTGAACCTCATCTGGAAATGATTCTCGAAGAAGAGAAAAAACTACAAGAAGGGAGAGCAGACACCCCAAATGATCTCTCCTTTCTCTTTATCCACAGCATCAACACCACCTGAAGAACAAAGAAAGCAGCACTGGACTGGGGGAGGGATCCTGACTGAAGGGAATTCAGCCAGTAAGACTGCTGAACCATGTAGTGAGACAGACCTTTGCTTTGAATTTACTTTAGCTTAAGGTAAGCATTAGTTGCATTGTACTTTTATTTTCTTGTAACCAATTCTGACACTTATGCCTCATTACTTGTAGTCACTGAAAATCAATCTAATCTAGCTAGCTATAGTTAATAAATTTGTTTCACCTAAACCAGTGTGTTTGGATTGAGTTATTTGGGAAACTCCATTTGGGATAACAGGATTTGTGCATATCATTTTCTATTAATAAAATAACGAACTTTCTATGAGCTTGTATTGTCCAGCAGAGAGCTGGGCAGTACAAGACGTACATTTCTGGGAAACTTTGGGACTGGGAATTTGCTGGTGTTGCTCTGCAGTGTAATTCACAAATGGCTGGCTATAGCACTCATACAATATAGTTGATAATAAGTTACATGCTGGAGGTTGTGTGGGAGCAGACCAGGAGTGACAGCTCTTACAGCAAAGCTGTGTAAAAACCACTCCACATTGGAGAACTGAGGGGACAGAGCTGTTCCTTAGTCCAGATTATACCCTGTGTAATGTCACAGATTGCCTTACTTCATCCTTCTTTAAAGAATTACTGAATCTGAAGCATTCTGATTATAAAGAAAAGGCAGCAATGATTTTTCTACCATGGGTATTTGCAAAACAAGCAGAAGGTTTTTTAAGTTATTCTGCTCCTGCTGCTCTTTCTCCCCCACCTCCCACCTCAAACACAAACTTGAAACCATAATCTTCAGTTTAGGGCATCGATTTGTTTCTGAAAGCTTGTGTGACATCACAAGATGATTATAACTTCAAATGAAAAATCAGCAACAAGAATGAACTTGTAAGGGACAAGGACCTACAAATCCAGAATCACATGAGCAGTCTTTACAGATGTAGCCATAGCAAATGCATGTAAGTACAAGATGCAGGATTAGGCCCCCAAAACTTTTCTCATGCAAATACTTTTAGTCACAAAAAAATGAGGTTTGATGTTTCCACTGAAGACAAGTTACCTGAACAAGCTGCTAAATACTCATCTTTCACACTGATGTATACTGCAATTAGAAGACATTTGCCATGGCTGTAAACACTAATGGAAGTGCTATATTTTTATTCCCAGCCTGTGATCTCTGAACAGCTTACTGCAATTTAAATGAACCTCTGTAAAGGAACAGAGCCCCACCTTCTGTCTTTGACAATGCTTCTGACACAGGCATCTCTGTGATAATGAACAAATTGTTGACATGTCATCCTGATTTCCTCAGGTACAGAAGACTCTGCACGTTCTGCTGCTTCTCTACTACCCCAGAGGAATTCAAACCTGAAAAATAATTAATCAAGAAATCAACAAAGAAACTGGCAATTTAAAAGGAAAGCTGGAAAAATATTACCGAACTCGGGGGAAAATTCTGCATCATTTCTGTCACCAATTCTGTTATAATATAGTGCATACACCAGCTACTCATGATAGAACTTCCTAGCCCATATACTGTTTGCCTTTGAACACTCAAAAGCTTGATTCTAGCTAACACAGAGAGGAGGCAAGGAACTAGGTGTGCCTCCTTGATTCAGAACTGCCTGGACCCTGTGCAATTTAAGGTTGACCGTGGGTGGCAGTCCTCTCCCAAGCTCCAGCCACAACTTAAGTTCTTCCCACAGCTTGGGGCAGTGTGGGACTTAGGAGTCCCAACTCCCCCACGTAAGTGACATATTCAGCTTCCCTGGGTTTGGGGAAGCAGCAGTAGCTTTGGCAGTTTCACTTGTACCAACAGCAATTGCTCATTTGCAAGCTAAGGTTTAAATGCAGTTTCAGCTGAACTTTTACGTCCCACCAGATTTTCAGTTTGGCACCCACTGACTCTGATTAGCCAGCAGCGGTGACATTAAGGCATGGCCAAAAGGGTGCAGCTCACTGCATGTGTCCGTACCAATCTAATACCAAAGAGGCATTCAGGAGCGGCACCTGGAAGGAGCATAGGCAGGAGAGGAGGTAGGAGCAGCGATGGAAGTAGAGGTTTAAAAGACCAATAACATTATTAATAGCTATCCTTAGCATTAAACCTTCCTAGGTAAGTGTTGAAAGATTAGATTTACCTTCTTTTGAATGGCAGAATGATTAAATGTTTATCCAAACCAAATATACCAAAGGATATGAAGCCCTGGGAAAAAAAACCCACAACACAGAAATATCAGTATTATAAACCTAGAAAAGACATTATTTCAGACCCAGGAAAGAAAAGAAAATTAAAATAATCCACTGAATTTAGTGCCATCAGGACTGAATTTTGTGGCCTGGACACTATTTCAAAGAATAAATAGGATTAAGGATCTTTTAAATTTTGGACCCTAAAGAGACAGACAGACACAGGTATGCAATAGGCTGTCAAATAACTTCTCCAGAAAGGGGTTTGGTAAATTTATTCATGTAGAGATCGACATCTCATCTGATATTACAAACACAATGACATCTTTCCAGAGCTATTTGCATGGTAAGACCAGCTAAAATAAAGAGAAGAATAAGCTGATAGCAATTTACTTCTGGAACACTTGCCCATCATACAAAACTTGCAAAACAGGAGGCAGAGCATGAACAACCTGTGAAGCAGAAAATGGATGAGCGACCTGTTTAAATGAATCACTGCCCCTTTCTAGAAAACTTGATACACCTCACATTTTATCAGCCCTCCACTGAAAGTCTCAGCATGTTCTTTCCTATCACTGCTGATTACCAGCGTCAGCACCCAAGAGAAATACGCAATTTCAAAGGAAATACCTGACCAAAATTAAATACAGCACAAAAGAACTGCAATTCCACGTAGAGCCTTCCAGGTTCTTGGTTGAACAACCACCACAAACAGCTGGACAGATTCTGTTAAAAATATAAATTGTGTTAGAAAATTCTCTCTTCTTCACAGAAGATAACAAAAAACTCATTTATTCTCTTTATGCAATAAGTCACCTAGAACAAAAACAGTCACTGAAAAGTAACCTGCTACATTCCTTGTGAGGTTCAGTAGCTGTAAATGGGACCCACATAGTGTGATCGATTTTAAGGGTAAATGTACCATCAGTGCTGAGGGCCTGATCCTTTAATACCCTAAACAAAGAAGGACCTTGTTCTTCTATGTTAAACTCTATGCATACTTAGGTAATCAATAAGTAGCAAACCTGTCTGAGCCAATATTTCACAAGGCAAACAGCAAACATTCCTACTGAGCTCCACACCAGCATTTTCTACATGGTTTCTTGCTTTTATGGAAGCTCAGCAGCAGCTGAAATGGTGCTGGTATGCACTTCAGCGGAACATAATCTGGAAAAAAATGCTAGCTCATGTGGGCATAAAGGTGAAATCATTTTTGAGTAGCAAGGGGTTCATAGTTCACTTAATAGTTTCTGCAACTAAAAATCTGATAACTGACTTATAGATAAAACTGGGGCCAAAATTTCAGGTACCTTTTTATCTTGCGGGCCACCACAAAAATGTATTTATAATTATTTGAAATGTCTGATATATGATATTTAGAAAAAAAGGAAAACTTGCTTCCAATGACCTAGTTCAGCGGTTCTCAAACTGTGGGTCAGGACCCCAAAGTGGGTTGCGACCCCATTTTAATGGGGTGCCAGGGCTGGTGTTAGACTTGCTGAGGCTCGGGGCTGAAGCCTGAGCCCCACTGCCCAGGGCCAAAGCCAAAGCATAAGCCCCATTGCCCGGGGCAGTGGGGCTCAGGTTATAGGCCCCCCTGAAGCCCAGGGCAGCGGGGTTTGGGCCGGCTCAGGCTTTGGTCCCTCCCTCCTGGGATCGTGCAGTAATTTTTGTTGTCAGAAGGGAGTCACGGTGCAATGAAGTTTGAGAACCACTGATCTAGTTAAAAAGCAGTTTTGCTCTGACTAATAATGGCACTGTGGGGTTCACTGCGTCCTCTTGGTTTCTATATCAATTATACATTTTTTACATGTAAAAATGTATGTTTTTTTGTCAGCCTGACAAACTCTACTTGGGCTCTGAAAGTCAGACTGGGTTGTTTCCTTCTTCTGTATCACCACCAGCAATAGAGTTTCTGCAGGTCAAATCTTGACTTAGTTACACTCCAGCAAGCAGACTGGAGTCTTCAATAGTATCTCACTGGAGTCACTGATTAGCTCTAACTGGAAAGTAGTAAATAAATCTGTTAATGATGCAGCAAAGGAATAGAATCCAGCCCACTGCATGGCTGTGTGGAGTCCACAGTGCTAATATAAATAGCACAAATAGATTTGTCTGTTTTATTTATATAGGTTCTTATACCATGCTCATCACTATTGTATTTGTCATCGCTAAAGGAACTTGGATTCTGAATCCACACAGAGCTGTTCGATAAGAAGGAGCCATTTTTAGGTAGTCCCTCTTCAAAGAACTACTGCACTTTTTAAAAGCTGACTATCGTGTAGTGAAGAAAAATATCCCTGAAAAAAGTCTGATGAACCGGCAGACCAATGAGAATTCAAATTTTGGCCCTCCCCATACTGTTGTCAGCCCTGACTTGTTCCTTGCCATCAGCAGTGTTAACGGTACAGTTAGCACATTTAATTTTGTGACTGTACTCTTCTAACGAGGGACAGAACTGAGATACACACAATTCATTTAATATAGCGCAGACTGAACTGACACTGACCCAGAAAAATGGGGAACTACAAGATTTTTACTGGTCTGCCAATACAGATTTCCTGAAAAAGTGTCAAACCACTGATCTAATCAATGTCAGAAATAGGAAATATTTACAGCAAACAGGCCCACAATGAGAAGTAAACACAGCAACACATGTCTAGCCAGTTGTTTGTCTCCACTCTGCAGACGTTGTTCTTCCTGTGCCAATATGCAGTTTTCAGAACTGCAATGACTCTCACACTGATTTGCTGCAAAACATTAACCAGAATTTATAATTAGGCTTTTTAACTTACAGAGTCTGATGATTCTGACCCTGCTAGACAGCTTGTACAACACCCAGTCAAAAGCCACAATCTTACAACAATCCTTTAGAAGCAGTGAGGAAGAGGAAGTATTGGGGAGAGATGGGAGGAGGAAGTGAACAACAGGAATGTCCACACACACAGCTTTCTTCATGTTTGGGATCTACACAGTGCAGTGTCTCTTCCCCATTATTCAGTGCTGAAATGACTGATTTAATCAGTGCTGACACACACTGCAGTCTTGAACAACTCAGGAGTTCCTGGCTCCAAGTCCATGCACGAACTACCCTATTACTACTTCTGAAATTTGCATGTATAATATCAATTTTAATTTCTGTGCTGAGGATGTATGCACAAAAAGGGAAATTCTAATGTTAGCTTTAACTATAAATTTTTCAGACATCTGTCCCAAAGCGGACTGGTTGATTTCTGGTGGAGATGGTTGCTCTCTCTCTAACCAGGAAAACTTTACACAACAAAACCTTTTGCTGCCTAAATTACAGCTCTATACTAGCGCAAAGTTTAGTAGTGGTTATTTAAAAGTTCTCCATACCTGCCACTAGATGGCAAGAAAAGAACTGCACGAAGTAATACGTACTACACACAAAACAGGGTATGTGTCACTGCAGTTCGGTGTAACAGTGGGAAGCACGATCAACTGCTAAAGTAAAGGTTACATGAGCTTCCATTGTAACCCCATTTTCAATTGCTTATAACTTCCTGTGTGGAAATAGCCCTCACTGAGGAGACCTGCTTAAGTGTTGCAGTGAGAAATGGCTTAGGTTCCAAAGAGTCCGGACCTGTTGAAAGTTACATGTTGTGCATGCAGTACATATGGAATGGAGCTGCCTGTGAAGTGTGCAGCTAAGGAAGGCTGCAGTGTGCACTATCACTTTGCTGGCTACTGAGAAGTAAACATCTGCATGGGCTGGACCAAGGGTTCTTGCAGGGTGCACAAAGTTCATTGTGAACTATTCTTCAACTTCCATGGCTCTTTGGGCCCCCTCAAAACAAATACACTTGGAAGGGAACGTTCCATACGAGGGCAAAATACAATCTACAGGGTTAGATCCAGAGCCCACTGAAATCAATAGAAAGACTTCTATAGACCTTGGATCAGGCCCTTGATGCAAACTCCAACAGTTTAGGACCAGGAATTTATGAACAGATAGAGGTGCCCTATACCTTGAAAGTCCCATCCCCTGTGTGAAGACTAGTGCTGAAAGTTCTGAGGACAAATCCCCTTAAAAGGGTTGCATTCTGTGCAGCTTTCTAAATGGTCTGTTACAAATTAATAGTTCTGGACAATAAGACAGTTGTAGTATTTTTTCTGATGGCAGAGTGTAAACTATAAGAAGTTACATGATGGCAAAAGCTTTCTATTTTAATTAGAAGTTCAGGATGTCCAAGGAGAACAGTTAAAGTGATGACATCTCCCAATTTAATTTTTACTGCTATTGTAGCAAAACTAAATTAGTCAGTGCAATAGATGGAATATTATATGGGAATACATTATTCTCGTACCTGTCTCGGTGGGAGGAGTACAGCTATCATTAGAGGTGGCATTTGACACTGGCTCTCCCTCTCCAGAGCAGCATAACTCACCATTTATTGTTTGACATGAACAGCAACCTATTAAAAATATTAAGTATTAAAGGGATAGTTATAGTTTCCCTGATTTACAGTAATGTGATGGGAAAACAAAATTATTCTATAATATTCTAAAAGAAGAACATTTACTGTACATCTGAAAATATACAAATTAGTGTCAAGAAATTAGTGCCAAGTATCAGGGGGTAGCCATGTTAGTCTGTATCCACAAAAACAACAAGGAGTCTGGTGGCACCTTAAAGGCTAACAGATTTATTTGGGCATAAGCTTTCGTGGGCAAAACACCACTTCAGATGCACCAGACTCCTTGTTGTTTTTATACGAATTACTGACTGCCTAAAGGAGAAGGGTGTGACAACTCTCTTCCAGCTTCCATTCAGAGAGGGTCTTTTTCAGACACCTAATATACTAAAAAGTTTTCAAAACACAGCATTACACTATGGGAGCAATGTAGGTGCTCTTGGCTACATAAACAACGTAAGGGAGCACTGGCATAACTAAGCACACTAAATCCAAATGAGGAGGACAAGGAATAGTTTGACTGTTCTGAAAGAGCTGGGTTAGTGGGCAGGGTGCAGATGAAACAGTCAGAGATGCCTGATTAATGAGATCTTTCACATACGCCCACAGTACTAGATATAGTGATAACTAAGAAACCTCCCTTAAATCATCATATTAAAATAACTGAGAGAAAGTGCGCTATTAAGGTTATATTTTCACGCATCACCATAGCAGCTTAGCATTTCGCAAGAACTGACAAAGACAAGCTTTTCCCCTCCTCCCGCTCCCCTTTCCAGCAAGTAGAGGTTAAACTCATGCACAGAATTATGGTTTATCCCCAGCTCCCAGTTTTTTGCACAGCCAGGCACTGTACCTCTTTCTGCAGTGGATTCTGCGAAAGGTGGAGAGCCACTGCTTGACGTCGGATTCTCCTCATTCCCTTCCCTTTCAGAGTTCTCCCTCTGGCCATTATGTGAATATGGGTTCAATATCTCATAGTCAGTCTCCTGTTCATTTCTGTTCATACACAGAAGTGAGATACCTGATATCAGAATGCTGATGAATAGAGTCACTGCTGTGGTAACCATCTGTCAGAGGAAAATCAAGAGAAAAAAATATGCCACCTCAACATAAGAAAATGTAAAAGCTTGTTTTCTGACACATTGAATACCAGTACTTTCTAGAATCCAACCCTCGAGGAGCACCTAAATCTGAACAAACCAAAATGTATTTCTATATGTATGCCACAAGACATAACAGCAGCTAAAAGTCCACTCAGCATGCTTGGCTGAGCTGATCTTCCCAGCCTGGATAACTCACAGAGGGTTCTTTTTCTTTGGCTTTTGTTCTGTAGGAACCCTTCTCTCCAGGCAATGAGAGCTCTCAGCTACTTCCTGTCCTTTCCCCCCATTTCTCCTTCTTCTGTGATTCTTATTCCACGGACAAGTGCACTCTCTTTTCCTCCTTTTGCAGGGCTCCATTTTCCACCCCCTCTCCTTCTGCAAGTCCAATTAGCCTGTCTGACAGATCTGCCATCAACACACAGTATCAATTTGGAGATTGTTAGTACTTGTGACAGGTACCAGATTGACAACCCTGCATACTCACGTCCTCTAGATCCACTGGGAAAGTAAAACCACAAGGGGAGCTCACATTGCCCCAGCTGTGTATGTCATGCCAGAGATGAATGAACAATTTATCAGTAAGAGTGTAGTTCAGACTCCAGGCGCTTTCAGTCCTTCGTTTCTCTGCCAAGACTCCCAACGAGGATGCTAGTTATTGCCACTTGGTGTACTGTTCTAGTAGCGTGGACACCTGTCTATAGGACCTTGATCAAGACCACTGATCAGCCATTAGATGGTAACAACTTTAGCTAACTACCAAGCTAAGCTGGATTCAAACTGGTAACCTAGAACAGTGTTTCCCAAGTGGTGGCTCGCAACCCATCAGAGGGTTGCAGGAAAACTGTAGATGGGTTGCAGACCCAATGCGGAGGGGAAGCCTCAGGATCAGGGGTTTAGAAAGCAAACCTGCCCTGCACCCACTGTGCAGCGGCAGCTCCTGTCCCTTGAGTCAGAGCCCAGTTCCCCCACGCCAAGCATTGAGACGTGACACATGGGGCACGCACTCAAATTTGGCTCGGCCGCCTTTCCCTCATGAAAGAAGGATGGCTGGGCCAAACTTGAGGGACGCTGCAACCCTGTGCAACAGGCAGCAATGCCTGAAGTGGGGAGCCAAGTCCAGTCTCATGGGACAGGAGCCATTGCTACAGGGGGACTATAAGGTGAGCGTGGCTCATTCTATAACTTTACCCCCCTTCTGCATCGGGCTAGAATTAGGGTTGCAGCATTGGGGCAGAGGGTGCCACTGCCCCTTGGCAGGGCAAGGCAGCAGGGGAGGAGAAAGAAGGATGCTGGCCTATGATTTTGTGCCGCCAACGAATTTGGACTCCAGGTGGGTTAAAAAGTAAACAAATCAAAATGCAGTTGGTGGGTTGCCTTAGTAAAAAGTTTGGGAACCACTGACCTAGAGGATGAGGGATTTACTGCCCATCATCACTCCCAGGCTATTCAGTCCCTGCTTTCTTTTTGTCAGTGTTGCCAAAAAGGCTCCCTGTTCAAACAGTCTTTCATAACTGTTTGTTACAGAAAAACATTTTAATACCACAGCCTCCAAGCTGAGTAGTGGCTATTTGATCCCTAGTATTTGCATTGCCAGTACTGTAAACTGTACTTGGAAGAAAGCTCTTTAGTTATATGTAAAGCAAAGAGTGAAAACAAACAGTTTCTCAGTAACATACTGTGAAAGGCAAGTGTCAAAAGGGGTGAAGAGAAACATTCATACCTGATATTTTCCATAAAAAAAAGCTGAGTCAATGCTGTCAGGGTTACGTTCACCAGTTATTAGTAAGATTCCCACTAGAAGTGTTGGGATGCTGCAACAGCAAAATACAAAGTGTGTCAAGAAAATAATTATTTTGCATTTTCCCACTTATTCTGCAGGAAACTTCTGCCGACTTACCCCCATCCAGCTACGATGATAAAGCCAACAGGTATCTTTATTACGTCTCTTTTCTTTAACAGCAGCAAAGTCAGAGAGAGGAAACCTAAGAAAACAATAGAAATGTCTGCTTTATTACTTTTCATTAAAAAAAAAGGCAACAATTGAAGAGTCTAGATACACTACAACTGGTATCCAATATCACACAGCTGGTAAGACTTTCTTTCTAGTGCCTCAATATATTAAGTCAAAAGCTACAAGCTACCATGTTTTTTTCCTAGTTCTTCTATGACAAAATTATACAAAAACTATTACCTTCAAAAGTTACATTCTAAATAGGTATTTAAAATGTTAAATAAACTTGGGCTCACTGTACAGTAAGGTTCCATTTACAAATGGTTTCTAATGGATTAATAAACATTTAGTAGATGTCATATAAGGATGTTAGACATGAGCAGTTTGTTTTTATAGTTGCTCATTAGTAGCAGGTTTTATATCAACGTATTGACCAGTTGAACACTATAACAATTATAGATTCATTATTGATCTATTTTAGATAGCTAAATATGAACATAATCAGAAACTCTGCACTTTTTTACATACGCACAACAGTGTCTTTGAGCTGGACTTCCAAATTCTATTATCAGTCCCTCACAACTCAGGAAGTTAGCAAACTACATACTTCCATATTTATGAAAAAAACTGGATAAGATTTTTAAAAATGGTCAACCAAAGCTGGGGTCCTAAGTCCATAATTAGGTGTCTAAATAAGGGGCCTGATTTTCAACCAGCTACTCCCATTGGGAAATGCCTTGCCTTTATGGGGCTAACTGTATGTGGGTATGAGTGAATGAAATGCAAGTGCAAAGAGGCTGCCCACTTAAAACTGGTCCTGAGACACGTGTGACTGAGTAGTACAGGAGGGGCGAGAGGCCTTTTCAAGCCGGGCTAAAGTTTCCTCACAAGAAACCTTGTCTGTGCCTGTTCATGTTTCCTCATCAAAGGCCAATAAAAAGCTAAAAACCCATAATCTACATGATGTAGGAAAACTCAAATAACCACATGGTCACCCTCACTGTCACGGGGGATCTTGTGTGTTGAGTGGGGCCGTCCCCATTGACCCAATGTGGGGTTGGTACATCCCATCACATGGTCATTGGGACTCCCTGTGGGATCAGGTAATTACAACAAGGAGGGCTCGGGACCCCTGGCGGGGCCAAGCAGACAACAGACTATGGCCCATGGGCCTCCTGGCTGAGGCAGGTAATAGCAGGCTAACAAACAGTCAGTCTGTAGCACCTGGGCAGGGCAGAGCAAACAAGCAGTAGCCACACCTACTGGCAAGCAGGGGGGTGGGGGAAAGGAAAGGAGGGAACCCAGGCAAATTCCCTGTTAAGAGTTTAAGCATGAGCTTCTATCAACATTCCCTGGGTCCTTTCTCCCGCAAGGTGCATTTCAGGCCTCTCCCCAGCCGGCAGCAGCTCGACATGCCAGTCGGGCTCCGCAGTTGGCTGGTCATCCACAGCGTAGTCCAGGTCCACAGATCCCACCGTTTGGAGAGTCATAGGCGTCTCTGCAGGAGCCTGCAGCACACATCCTTCCTCCTCCTCAGCCAGCCCAGACTGAGCTGGGCTGCTTCCTTTTATCTGTCCCTTCCACCTTGAGCATGCGCAGCAGGGGCAAGGCCTCTTGGACCCTGTTGGCCCCGTGCAGGTTTGGTAAATCCCGTCACACTCACATAAGGCTACCCAAGTTTTCCTTCCACCTCTTTTGGTCTGTTTTGTACACTTCCATGCCCCCTCATATGCCTAGTATAACTTCCCCAAAGCTCTGCTATTATACAGCAATCTACCACTGTCTCCATCCCTAAGAACCTACAGAAACCCCCCCCCACATTTTATGACATGTTAAAAGGCTACACCCCACTGTTCACTCTGTGTTTGCTTTTGCCTTTAAGGCATATTCCTGCAATTTGTTCAGTACAAGCAGGCTGCTGCATCTATGCAGAACTGCACTCAAGTCAATGGAGCTCTGCATAGGCACAGCAGTGTATCCACAAGCTACCAATTGCAGGATCAGGGCCTTAGACTGTAAGCTCCCCAGTGCAGGCAGTGTTTCTGTTTGGCAATGACCTACCACTGTACAGAACTGTGCACATTTATAGTATTAAATAAACGATTAACATACAATGTGAGGAAAGATGACTCTCCAGAGTACAATCAATTACTCTCGAACATTAATTGCACACTACAATACTTATTTTTACCACATGAAAGCAGAAGTTATTCACATTCCAACTTACCTGTCCACAAATAAGTACTATAAAGCGAGCTGTATAACAAGATGAACACCAGAATCTTCAGAGTGATGTTTCTCTCTCTAATAATGAAATTCCACATCACCATTCCAATGCAGGCAACAACCTGTGAAAGGAGAGTGAAGCTGCAATCATTTGAATATTGAAATTAAAATATGAGGGGAAAAATAAATAGTGTAGCACAGATACAACAGTTATCAAAAATCCACGGTCTGCAGCCAGACAACTGAATTTTGTTTGAATTTATGAATTCTCAGATATTTAAAAAGGAGTTTTCACAGCATTAAAGCAGTGCAATAGTGCTCTCAAAGTTAAGGCTACGTCACTGACATAAGCATTTGTTTTTCAGGGATTTTCTATTTTTGACAACAAACATACTCTAGAGTTAGAGAAACCTGAAGTAAGAGGGCTCAGAAAACAAATTTTATAAAATGCATTACATACCCTTTTTGTCTGAAGTGTTTTAGGGGCACTGAAAAAAACCTGAGGCTGATTGAGGTTTGGATATCTGGGAGAATTATCGGGTAAATAATTCACACTTGGGGACACAACCTGTCCAAGGATAATCTTAGTAGTGAAGAGGCCCAGATAAATTACTATAATACAAATTTAAGAAAAATAACCTTTACAGTTGAAGTTAACTTGCAGTTATAAAAAAGAAGTGTCTAATTTAAACAAACCATATTTGAAAAGGATGGACTCCATAATAGTCAACGGACCCTCGCTGGTTTTAATATCATGTACTATATATTTCTATCAATATTATACTTATGAAAAAGGTCTGCTGCATATGCACACAACAGGCACCATCATCCTCCCACTGAACTCCATGGGAGTTTTGCAGTTGACTTCCAGGGAAGAAGGTCTTATATGGTCTTTTCTCCCAATGCTAGGCACATGTAACTCACTCCTACTTGTATCAATGGGAATTACAGATGTGTATTGAGAGAACAGTCCCGCAACTACTGTATGAATTTATGCTGCGTGTTTATGATCCTATCTATATGATAGGAAAGAGTAACATTTGCAAAGCATGGGGAAAAAGAAGCACACACACAGATTCCAGTGAGCAAAGGGTGGTTCAGTCTTTTCTCTCAGTACATGTGGCATTCTCATGCAATTTACTCCATTTACGCAAGTCTTGCAGCAGAGAACTTATAAATCCAAATCTTTTCTGTCAAGTCTGGACCTTAAAGCTTCCATGGCTCTTTTCTCAAATACAGGGTTTTGCTCCGGTGTCCTTAGCCAACATTTCCCTCTCACTGTTGCGCCATCTGCTGTGTACCAGATGTCCTCAAGTGGCTGACAGCAACCAAATGAAGATGGCTTCATGTATATGTATATGTGCTTACTGTATATGTAGATTGGGAAGCATTTTGGGATGAAAAGATATATGCTATTTTTAGAGATATGATTATCACCACTTAGAATTACACATATAAAATTGAGAAAAGAATGTATTCCAAATCTGAGCTTTCCCTCTGAATTTCCTCTATTTCTCAGCTTGAGACACAGTTTTATCAGAAAGAAAAGGAGTACTTGTGGCACCTTAGAGACTAACAAATTTATTTGAGCATATACTTTCGTGAGCTACAGCTCACTTCATCGGATGCATTCTGATGAAGTGAGCTGTAGCTCACGAAAGCTTATGCTCAAATAAATTGGTTAGTCTCTAAGGTGCCACAAGTACTCCTTTTCTTTTTGTGACTACAGACTAACCCGGCTGCTACTCTAAAAACAGTTCTATCAGAGAGACTTTAATGTTATAATCATTTATTCCAACAGAATCACAAATGATTGTTCTGTACAGTAAATACTATACAGTCTACTACACAAAATCTGAGGCACAGTAACACTGAAGCTATTTAGAAAGTAATGTGTTAGATCTTTTTTTCCCTTCATCATATATCTATAAAGTAAGCTTTCCACACAGCGATTTCTCAGAAAAAAAAAAAGTTTGTATCTAAAGATTTTTATATTCTACATGGTACTGACCTGAGCAATAAGTAAGTTTGTCGTCAGCATATGAGGAAGCTGTTTATATTTCTTACTCAAAAGAATAACAGTAAGAGACCAGATCTGAAATACACAAAAGAAATAAGAGTTCAATTTAGGACTTTTAAAAATTAAGATGAGCACTCAGGCTTAACATACAGGAATTAAACATCCAACAAGCCACTTCCTTTTGTTTTTAGATAACAAAGCTGGAAGCATCAACTCTATGCCACCAGCTCCCAGTCCCCTTGCCATAGGAGGCATAGCCACAGTGCAGTTCTTCTGTGTGCTTGGGATGGTGTGACTTCTAGGGGACTGCTGTTGCTGGGGCAAGTTAAAGCTGCTCTATCATGTCATATCAAGCTGGAGGCTGCTTGCCCCTCACAAACAAAGGGGTGGAAAAAATGCTGAAGAGCCACCCATGCCTCCTTAGGGGTGCTCAGGCTAGGTGGATCTGGTGCACGCCCTCTCTCACTCTCTCTCTCTCTCTTTTTTTAGTTTAAGACACAGCTTCTACCCATTCCTCTCTTACAATCCCCACAAAGGCTTGTTGATTGCCAAGATGCAAGTCCTAGTTGTGGCTGTCCTTCCATTTCTCCTCAATGTCACAGTCAGTGCCCCACTCTATATTCTTCTGTTTTGTCAACTCTTTCAAGGTTTTGTTGAGATATTTAATGATCCAGGTTAACAATATTCACACTTCTTCAAAAAGGTACCCATGAGCTACATTGAGAAGTTTATCTTCCTACACAAAATTGATAATAAGTAAGGAGAAAAATTTTGCTTATTATGAAGGACTAATTTACATGCATTTTATTTTTAATTCTATTTTTAAACTGCGTGACATTTATCCTTTCCTTTAAATTAATAAAACTTTAGGGAGTATTCAACTGCTTACAACACAAGAATTTAACCAGTTAATCACACCAGTTTCTTTACATTTATCATCACATATTTCATATCTCAACATAAAACTTTCCCGCCTTTTATTAGAAATATCAAAAAGAAGCACTCTGACAAAAGGCATAAAATGCAAATGTAAGTCTGAGATAGCTTCTGGAAAGATGAACTCCAAAGCTAAAAATGGAGTGAAACTCGGAAACTGTGCTGAATGGCCCAGCTTATAAGGCTGTGGGAACCATTCAGCATGGATATTTTAACTTACGTTAAAAAAAACAAACAAACCTATCCATGGCATTGTAATGATGGCAAATGATGCATTCTGGGATGTCACAACCTATTTTATGAACCAGGCAACCAGAGGTTGTTGCCAGGAAAATAATTTCCCAAACATTTTAATGCTAAATAACTTCCATGCTAACTGCTCTCACTAGCCAAGACTGTGGAGGCATTCAGCTCAGAGAAATGCCTCAGCTTTAACTTCTATCTTTGCTACTGCAGTAGCCCCTGCCAGCACCTTTTTTGGATGTAAGAGTGGGGGCCAGTGGGCAAAAATATCCACAGAGATGTGTATAGGCCTAGTATTTAAGCATCTCACAATTTGTAATGTATTTGTCCTCAAAACCCCCCGATCAGAAAGGGAAGTGCAATTATCCTCATTTTTTACTGATAGGAACTCAAGCACAGAGCACCCAAATGGCTTGTCCCAAGTCAACACAGGCAGTTTGTGCAAGAGCAGGGAACTGAACCTGGATCTCCAAAGTCCTTTGCTTAATACCCTTACCACCGGACCATTCCTTTTTTTACAACTACTTCGTTCATGTTAGCTTTACGGTGGACCATTTACCCTACATTGGAGAGCCTCTCTCTCTCTTCTCTCCTCCCCTCTCCTACAAGAGGGAAAGAGTGATGAAATGACAATTTTGTCTTTCAATTACCTGGCTTGCTGTTTGTCACTACCTTACTGCCATTTAATGTGGTTTGGGTATTTCCTTCACCTTACTGTATTATCAATACTTACCAGGGAGACGAGACTGACAATACTTATATCAAAGCTAACATTTTGGATTGCAGATGCCAATGGGTTTGGATCCATAGATGGAATGGTCAATAGCCAAGCAGAAACATACAAGATAGGAGCAGACACAAATGTGCTTATCACCATTCCTGAGGTAATCTGCAAACAGAAATCAAGAGGAGAAAGCGGAGAAGATATCACATTTCTAGTTAAATTATCTGTTTTTAGGAAATATACTATGGGCAAAATTCTACCCTGGTCTTAAATACCATATGGAATTCTACTGAAGTCAATGTATTGCATGGTTAGAAGATCAACCAGAATTTGGGCTATGAATTGTAGGAAATACATCCATTTTTTGCAGACAGTTAAGAAGAAGATGAACATCTTGTAACAAGCGTAATCAAAAACAACATCCGTTTGGGAGCCCTCTCTGCAAATTCTCTACATTAACAGTGCTTTCTCACATGAGTAATCCCAATGACTCCAGTACAGGACTGGGCGAACATACTACAATGCGGAATGTCACAGCTTAGTCTCTCCCTCCAATGCACAGCTTTATATTTTACATTAAACAAATAAAATTTGTTTGTGCAGATGTGCATTTTCTGTCATACAAATTCAAGGATGAAAAAAAGCCTGGATGTGTTTACGTGTTACTTATATTTTGGTTTTCCCTGGCTTCCTCGCTTTTGGAATTCAACAGCAGCGGAGATTCTACACACACCAGCCCTCTGACTAATAAAGGGACATTGCCAAGGTTGGTTAGACACAAAATTAAGCTACAATGCTTCGTTATTGTATCTTTCTTGTATATTTTTGCAAAAAAATCTGTGTAATTCTTCTAAAAAATTATGACAAATGTTTTATTATTTTGCCTAGAAGGAATATTGAAAGAAAATCAAACAGTTACAGATGCACATGTATATAGGGCCAGATTCTGGAACTACGTGAAATGCCACTCCAAAATGCTGCTAAAAAAACAGCATCAATGTGTGCCCATATTCAAGGCAGCAGCAGCTCCACATATTGTCTATTCCCCAGAGTCTCTTTCTCGCAGCATCTCGAATAATTTATATGGGAAGCTGTGGATAGGAGCCACTTGCTGGGTCCGGTAATAAACCTGATGCACCCTGGATACTTGGACTTTCCACCCTGAAGTGTATGCAGAATGCCTGTAAGAATTTGGCTCACTTCATAAAACATCTCTTCTGTTTAAGAGTTATTTGTAATAAATCCAATAGTGAAGTTGGAGCAGTGTCCTCTGGATAAGAAACAAGAACTACATGGTTTTTTATCATAAGGTTTAACCGAAGGGGAGCATAGGCGCCGACCCTGTGGGTGCTCAGGGGCTGGAGCACCCACGGGGAAAAATTAGTGGGTGCTCTGCACCCACCGATAGTCAAGCTCCCAGCCCCGCCTCACCTCCTCCTCTGCCTCCTCCCCTGAGCGCGCTGTGTCCCCACTCCTTTGCCTATCTCCCAGCGCTTGCTGCCACCAAACAGCTGTAGCAAGCTCCGAGAGGGAGCGGGGAGAAGCGGGAACATGGCGCCCTCAAGGGAGGAGGCGAGGAAGAGGTGGGGCTGGGGCAGGGATTTGAGGAAGGGGTTGGAATGGGGGCAGGACAGGGGTGGAGTCGGGATGGGGCCAGGGGTAGAGGGGGGTCAAGCACCCACTTGAGCCAGAAGAAGTCGGCACCTGTAAAGGGGAGAGAGTCACTCAAGGTGGGATTTTCAAAAGTTCATAGCAGTGACCTAATTCAGCTCCCACTGAAGCAAGTGATAAAACTTTCATTGGCTTCAACAGGAACATATAGAATTTTCCTTCTGCTTTAAGTTATTTGAGTCCACATATTTTTCTTAATCTAGGCTCTAGGAATAGGATCTTAGGTTTTAAAAAAAATCTGTATTATGTGAACACTTGAAACAGAAAGCAGAAAAAAAACTGCATGGTTTAATTGTTAATTTGAATTGTAATTCATATTTTGATCCCTAGAGAGCATAAGAGACCCAGATGTGTCTATATTATGAAAAGCTAACTTTCTCAAAAGTTTGTATTAAAAATATTTTATCAATAAAATTAAAATCAAAATTAGTGCTGAGTTTGCTAATGTCAGGCACATACAATCTCTACTTCCATATTGAACTGGTTTGCAAAGATAGCCACGCCAGGTGCTGCTGGAAAGACTCCATAGAGAAATGCATAGTTTGATAAACTGGTGTGGTTGACTAAGCTGTCATTCTTGTCCAACAATTCCACCATCTCTCTACAGAAAAGTGGCATCATCAGTCTGAAAAGGAAAGAAAAAATGAATACATACTTACTCTCTTAAGTGACATTTCCCTGCATTGCTTTCAGCTTAAAAGGCAAAATTTCAGGCTTCTCTGAACAACAGTATTAAATATACAAAGAAAAGAGGGACCTCACTTTCAGTAACTGCTTCCCTAGGTACAGTGGTATGTATACACAAAATCATGTTCAAATAAATATATAACAGAACTCCAACAGTAAGTTTAGATACCTGCTAACTACTGCAACATGAACTAATACAGACAGAAATAGATTCCAATCACCATATAAATCCTTTAAAACAATTTACTCTGGTTTTCAGGCCAGTCAATTCAAGTTTTATACCAGCACAACCGAGATCAGAATCTGGTCCAGAATCTTGTTTGAGATAACTAATTCAGGAAAAAAAAAAAAACAAAAAAAAACAAACTTTCCACATGTCAGGCAGCCAGATGGAGCATCTGAAAAACAATCTAGCTCCTGGCATGATTTTGGAGATACTGTGTCACAGAGGCAAGATATAGTGGGAGTTCTGCTATTTTTAGCATCTTTGTCATCTTCCAAACAGTCCATAGATCAGCAAAATTGCAGTAGGCTCTGAGAAAGCCTACATATACTTTGCTCTGCTATCTGAAGGAAAGATACCATATCGTGACAGCTGCTCCTGGGGGCAATCTGTATTAGAACTGGGGAAACTCCACAGGCTACAGAATAAAGAAGTGGGCAATCACGCATGTTTGAACAGCTTGCTGTAAGAGTCCAGTGGCGAACAAAACAAAGCTACAAATATTCAAGTTAAACAATTCGGGGTATCCTGTCCCTTCTTAAAAAGAACAAGCCAAACAGCAAGCATCTACTGTAAGTGGGAAAATCTTTTGAGTTCTTCTTGCAAAACTGAAACAGCATTCATGGACTACACAGTAAACCTTCCTACTTAGTCACCAAACATCAGAGACAATTTAAAACTGACAAACTCTCAAATAATTTTTTTTATAAGTTGCACTGAGAACTAGAACCTCTTTAGGACAGTGACTCTTTAGGACAATCGCGATCGACTGGTTGACCCTCGAGGATCTCCCAGTCGATCGTGATCTCCAGCAGCAGTGCAATGTGGCTGCAGCTAAGGCAGACTCTCTGCCTACCCCAGCCTCACACCGCTCCCGGAAGTGGCCAATGCAGCGCAGGGGTCTCCCTCTGCTCACTGCTCCTGCCTGCAAGCACCGCCCACACAGCTCCCATTGGCCGGGAGAGCTGTGGGGATGGTGCTTGCAGATAGGGGCAGCATGCAGAGCCATGTGCCCCCTCCCCTCCCCCCGCCCCAGGGACTGCAGGGGCACATTGGCCCCTTCCAGGAGCAGCATGGGGCTGGGGTAGGCAGGGAGCCTGCCATAGCCTTGCTGTACCCACGGCCAACCGAAAGCCACCACACGTAAGTGCACCCCAAACCCCCTCCCAGAGCCGGAACACTGTACCCCCTCCTGCACCCCAACACTGTGCCTCAGCCCAGAGCCTCCTCCTGCACCCAAACTCCCTCTCAGTCTGCACCCTGCACCCCCTCCTGCACACCAACACTCTGACCCAACCCGGAGCCTGCTCCTGCACTCCAAACCCTGCCCCAGGCTCAGCCCAGAGTCCCCTCTCAGACTGCGAACCCCTCTGCCCCAGCCCAGAGCCCGCACGCCCTCCTGAACCCCAACCTCCTGCCCCAGCCCAGTAACAGTGAGTGAGGGTGGGGGAGGGGTGGAGCCCTCGGCGAAGGGGCGGGGTAGATCCTGAATTGCCCTTAGATTCAAAAAGTGATTTGGCCATAAAAAGTTTGGAGACCACTGATTTAGGATATAGGCCTATTTTGTCATAATATGCTGAGCTGCTTTTTGTGCTAAGTCAAAGACCAAAGGTGGTTGCCTCAAGTTAGTCTCCTAACTCCTTGTTAATGTATGTAAATAAAATTTACTTGATTTTCAGAGGTGATGAGCATCCACAAATGCCACCTGAAGTCATTGGTAGTTGCAGGTGCTCACTCACCACCTTTGAAAGTTAGGCAAGTCCCTATCTTTAGGCATCTAGGTTGGGAAATATTAGACACAATTTCCAAGCAAGGGAAAAAAAAAAAAAAAAAGGTTTCCCTATTAATGCTGTGTCAAGACAGCATCATTTTTGGATGGGGGGGGGGTGAGGGAAGGGAATGGGAGCAAAAAGTCCACACAGATGTATATAGGCCTAGTATTAAACAAAAAATAGCATGAACAATCAATTAGTTTTCTTTCATATTCTTTTCATGTGTCCAATTCACAACTTCACCATCACTGATCTGGGTTATGCATGTTAATTATTTTTACTCTGCCAACATCTAAGCTCTTCTTCATATAAGGTTTATATTTCTTTGACTATATCAGAGCAGTAATACTGTGATGTGAATTGTAGCTTCACAGCAAGAAAGAGTGCACAGTTCATCAATAAGAACATTTATCTTTATTTAGTCCAAGCAATGCGATGGCAGAAGTTAATTCACTGGCAAATTGGCTGAACTTTAAAGGGAAACTATCATCTACTGATACTCAAAATTTAGATTTAAATAAATCATTTTACAGTCTAATGTGAACAGAAGTGGGTTTTAAAAATAATCCAAAATTATTTGGGGAATTTAAACATTGCAGCACAAGAAGTTAAAATGACTCAAAAGCAAATAGGAACAAATAAAACTCACCAGTTTAGTTTCATTGTCTAAGCTAAGCAAAATGCAAAAACTAACCAAGCAGTTTGGAATGAAAAGTAAACTTGTTAAAAATGAGATCTGTTTTAATAATACATTAGTTGTGAGAGATATGGATAAGTATTAGTAATACTGACTGTCCATTTAATGCTTTTCTAAATGTTGCAATATACAAAAAATACTGAAACATGTAAATACAAAAGTAAACACATCAAACTTACAGTTTAGCTGTGATGAGAAGAATCAGTGCAACAAACGCATTCTTCGTCAGTTTTTTTATTTGTCCCACCATGCTGAGTCCAAGGTAAAAGAGTGCTGAGCCAGAAAATGAACTGGCTAGTCCATCAAGGAAGTTTTCAAGATACACTGGTATCTTCTGTCCAAGAATAAAATTTGAGGCAATTCCTATGAAGACCATGAATACTATTGGGTTCTGCAACACTCGAAGAAGCCCGAGTCCCACTATTTTCATTTTGTTGTGCGACATACTGCGATTATCTCGCCCTTTCTGGATTTCACAGAAGATAAACCCAAGAGGGTTTAGCATCATAAGAGATATTGGAGCCACTAAGTAAATGTACTGGAGATATTCTGGGTAAGTGGTTTGATATAAAGCTTCAACTAGAAAACAGGAAATGGAAAGTGATTATTGACAATACTTTAACAAAAATATATGATTTAATATTAAAATGAATGATTGTCTCTCAAATATACAAAAAGATGTTCTTCATACTAACCATATCAGCCTAATTAACAGTTGAATACTTACAACTAGCGCAAGATGACAGTGAAAATATAAAGAAATGCATGGTTAATTGTCATTAGACCATAGATATGCACTGAAAATAATAAAAATGATAGAAGATTAACTAACCCATGTTGCTTTACTATACTATGAATACCCCAAGGGCCAGCTGATAGAACCCTGTTTCAAAATGAATCATTCTAATATTGCTGTACAACAACAAAATAATAATACCATATGCCCTCTATTGTAGATTGTTCAGCATTTCAGATAAAGGAAATTGTTTTTGCAGCACATTCCACAATCATGGGAGAGTCACTGCACATTAATAGCACAGTTTGTGTAAGAGTCCAATTTGCAAATTGTTTTTCTTCTTACAAGTCTTTTAGATCTCTCTGAAATATAACCAGTGTGTATGACAGGTGTAATTCATCATCCTGTATTTATGATCCCTTTATGGCACTCTATATAATAAATTAAAAGAAAAATTAGTGCAGAATAAATAAGCAGTGTTCATGTTCTGGGACTACTCAGGTCAGGAGATGGGATTTAGGCATTTTAGGTTGTTTCCACTGACAACAATTTGGTTTTGTGACCTTGAGTAAACCACTTAGGGCTTCCACTTCAAAGGTACTGAGCACACATAGCTGTCATTGAATTCTAAAGATCAGGCCATTAGCCACTTTGTGACTCACTTTACACATCAATAAAAAGGGTATATGATATATATCCTCACAGGACTGCTGCTAAATTAGTTAAAGGTTCACAAACCCTGTAGCTTTAATAATCCTTCCCACCCCTTTTATTATGTCACGTCTTCAGGGCAGCGTCTGTAGCTTCTATATGCTCTGCAGATGCCTAGCGCACTTCTGGGCACAGTAAAATAACCAGTAAAATACTTTCAGAACCTTGGATGAAAGTAGCGAAATAAGTGCAAGTTATTGGGATATACTGCGCTACCACTGTAGCCATAGTGTAGACACTTCCTACATCGATGTAAGGGTTGTTTCCATCTATGTAGTTACTCCACCTCTCCAAAAGGTGGTAGCTACACTGACAGAAGAATTCTTCTGCCAACCTAGCTCTGTCTACAACGGGGGTTAAGTGAACCTAATTTTGACACACAGGGTGTGAAATTTTTCACATCCCTGAGCAATGCAGGTAGGTCAAACTAATTAAGTGTAGACCAGGCCTTAGTAAGCCAAAGCAGGGATAAATTAGAGGTTGGTGCAAACTGACACTTAACTAGGGCCAGGTCTACCCTACAAACTTTTTGCTGGCATAGCTATGTCAGCCACAATGTGATGGGCTATGATTTGTGATGAACACAGCTGTGCCAGTCAAAGTCTATAGTATAGCATAGCAGTATAGCTATCGCAGCAAAGCGCTCCTAATATAGACCTGGCCTAGGACTTGAAAAACCTTTTAGACATCTGCTAATGGAAGGATTAGACCTGCTAGCCAGAAGGAGGGTTGGGAGCTCCAAAAATGAGATCCAGGGACACATCCCCAGTGAGAAGCCCAACCCTGCAATAAGTGGGAGAGGGCTGTCTTTGGCGCCATCTTGTACACCAGCTGCATCATATTTGAAATGCCAGCACCTCCCTGCAGTAGCCAGAAGCTTGCTCTCTCTCTCCCCTCCCTGCAGCGTGTCAGAACTTCTTAGCTGCTGTGAAAGGCAAGAGAGGAGAGGCTCCACTACTTTACATTTCCACCCACCTCCTGCCTGGTTCAAAGGCTGTGAGAAAAAAAATGCCAGCTACTCTTATCTGCCCTCCCCCCTCAGCCTCCCTTGTGAATAGCTCCCTGAGAGTGCCTCCACTGCTGTTCATAAATTTTACGAAGAAGCAGCTGCATAAATTGACAACTCTTGACAATTTCACTACTACCTGCAGCAGCAATGAAAACAATTAGAGGTTTTCTTAATTTGTTCTACTTCTATTTTGCAAACCTATAAGTTACGGGAGCTCTCGGAACAAAGACATTATGTCCTTTTAATCCATTCACATTTGGGAAGTTACCGGCACAACTCTAGCCCTTATATATTTTAAGTAAATTACAATTCCACTTTGCAGACATTAAAGGAATTGGCCCCTCAACTTGCTTGGTAAAGCTTCCCATTTCTAAGAAGCAAGTGGATTTTTTTTTTTTTTTTTGTTTAAAAAGGCCTGTACTACACTCCACAGTTGACAACAGCCATACCAGCAACATTTTGTTTCCCAAGTTATAAAACCATGATGATCCAGTGGTCAGTAATGAACATTCACGGATACTGTGATATAACTTATTCTTATATCTTACCCCTTTCCTAGTGCCTCCCAACAAGTCCAGGAAAGTTACACCTTCTGAAATAAACATTAATCCTTGTTTCTGTTGGCAGCCTTTTTACCTGTGTCCCACCTGAAAAGGCCAACAAAAGACACCCAGCAATTAGCTAGTACTATTTAATGTGCTAGCCAGAAAGGAGTGCTGAGAGAAGCTGAATTAGTACCAAATATGATAGATTAAAATCTATTTGCACATTTCATATTTGATATAAAGTAGAATTAGTTTTGCAAGAAATCTACAAATTACATGAACCCCATCTCTTTAGCCTCAAGGGCACAGCAGACAACTAGCTGTTTGCTAGGCTATCCCTTTGGTTAGGGAAAGCAAATATTATAATATAGGTCAATTAGTATCTCTAAAAGGGACCTCTTCTAATATCAAGAACCAATCCAGAAGGCAGGGGATTGCAAATGTAGGCTGAAAGCTCCCACTTGTGTGGATCTACCTTCAAAGTAGTATTTGGAGAAATTAAGGTACAGAGGAGGGAAGAGTGGGAGCCCCAACCTGACTGCTCAACAGTATTGATTATAATAGTAAAAGACTTTAAAATATGCAAAGGGAATTTCATAAGGGATAGTGACAACCTCCTGTTCAGAGAGGCTAAGTCAGGGGAGGGAGATGTCTGATTTTTATGGACAGACTAGCACCTTCAAGGTCAAAGGATCAGACTATTGCTGAGGAGGGGGGTGAGGCAATATAAAAAAAATAGGATTTTCTGGCTCTAAATGAACACACACCTATAAGACTCATTGTTCAGTCACTGGTAAAACACTTAATTTCTGTTTACAGCTTATTAACTCAGCATACTTAGCATTACTCACAGTACTTATGTAATCAGTAGTGTTAAAAGGGCAAGTTATAAGGACTCCGTTATGCCCTATTTCTATATTTTAATAATGGAAGCCAGAAACCATCTGGATTTGCTAAGTCAACATATTATTAGACTGCAACACCTTTAGAGATTCTTAGTTTTCCTGTCCCAGTTGAATACTGAAAATACCAAAGGCCAGTCTAACAAGGATTTGCTTTCCTGCATCTGCAGTAGAGGGTGCCAATATCACTGCATCAAAGAACATATTCTTACTTGAAAAACGGAGTACTAGTGGCATCCGATGAAGTGAGCTGTAGCTCACGAAAGCTTATGCTCAAATAAATTGGTTAGTCTAATGTGCCACAAGTACTCCTTTTCTTTTTCCGAATACAGACTAACACGGCTGCTACTCTGAAACCTGTCATATTCTTACTTGATTTGCAAGCATTTTAATTGTACGTTCTATTATTAATTCTTCCATATTCATGCAACTTGAAGTTTTAAGGTTTGGTGAAGAGGGAAGCGAGAAATAGGTTCACTAAGACTGTGTGTATGTACTCATTTTGTATGTGTGTGAGTGAATGAATGAATGAATATGAGATGGAGATTCCACAATCTCCCTTGGAAGCCTATTCCTGAGTTAACTACCCTTATAGTTAGAAATGTTTTCCTAATATCTAACCTAAATCTTCCCGGCTGAAGATTAAGCCCATTACTTCTTGTTATACCTGCTGTGGACATAAAGTGATCAATTGTTCTCCATAACAGACAGCCCTTAACATATTTGAAGACTTACCAGGTTCCCCCTCAATCTTTTCTCATGAACATGCCCAGTTTTTTTAGCCTTTCCTCACAGGTCAGATTTTCTTAACCTTTTCTCATTTTTGTTGCTCTGCTCTGGACTCTCCAATTGGTTCAGCCCTAAAATGTAGTGTCTAGAATTGGACATAGCACTCCAGCTGAGGCCTTACAGTACCAAGTAGAGTGGGACAATTACCTTTCATGTCTTACATATGACACTCTTGTTAATATACCCCAGAGATATTAGCCTTTTTAGCAAATACATCACATTGTCATATTCAATTTGTGATCCACTAAAACCCACAGATGCTTTTCAGCAGTACTACCACCTAGCCACTTATTCCCCATTTTTAGTGGTGCATTTGATTTTTCCTTCCTAAGTGAATTACTTTGCACTTGACCTTTATCGAATTTCATTTTGTTGATTTCAGATCAATTCTCCAATTTGTCAAAGTCGTTTGTCCATTTGTCAAATTCTAATACTGTCATCCAAAGTGCTTGCAACTCCTCTCAGCTAGGTGTCATCCACAAATTTCATAAGCACTCACACTACTCCATTATCAAAGTTACTAATGACAATATTGAATAGTTCCAGACCCAGGACTGACTCTGAGAGACCCCACTAGATATGTTCTCCCAATTTGACAGCAAACCATTGATCGCTATTCTTTGAGTATGGTCTTTCAACCAGTTGTGCACCCACCTTACAGTAATTTCATCTAGCCCACATTTCCCTAATTTGCTCATGAGAATGTCATGTGGGACTATGCCAAAAGCCTCACTAAAAATCAAGATTTTTTATATATATACAGACACACACACACACCCAACACATTACTTGCTCTAGATGCCCAAGTCTGACATTCTGTCAGACAGATTCTCCAATTGTGTGCATGCTTGCAAACTGCTCTGTTGTACTCTTGAACCTACTGATAT